AAAGTTTAGTACCGACAAAATGTTATAAAAAAATTTTTAGGGTTATATACTTACAATATAAATACACTTAGGGTTATAAAATTTAGTTATAAACCTATTGTTATACCTACTGAATCGGTCAAGCCGTTTCGGAGGAGTATAAACAGTAAAACTGTGACACCGAAAAATCGAGAGTTATTAATTAAACGCAGTAAAATTGTGACATACTTTTATTAAACAACATGTCCTTATTCTTTAGCAAAATATTAAAAAATAATATTGTAATGTTTTTTTTTTTCATTCTTTTTGTTTGGTAGTGTTTTATGATACAATTTTCGTTAGAATTTAAGTGAAATCCGGAAAAATAATTTAAGTCAGAAGTTTTTATATGTACTTGAATGCGATCACATGAAAACAATGCGAAATATAATTCCAATATAATATTTGTCAATTACTTGTTGCGTGTTAACTTCTATTTTACACATGAAACTGGTTTTCTTTTATCAACGTTTGTTCATAAACAAGAGTCATTCCATAAACGAGAATGTTACAAAATCTAATATACATATTTCGATTTAATGGCAAATAAATAAAATACGATGGACGTGTTTTTGATGAGTGAACCGACAACGACTCAGTTTCGTAGGGCCCGACGAAGCATTGGGCAGCCCTTGGTGTTTATAGCGAATACATAATACCAAGACTACACCTTTGAAGTAATTCAGGCCACAGTCTAAAATTTTACTTTTAGACTGTGCTACGCATTCATAATTAATGACAACCGTCGGATATTAAACTTATTTACCTATGTAATTATATAATTCCCCGTCGGCTTTATTGAAGAGTTGACGTACTAAGGCAATGTTATATCAGAGGAATTTTTTATGTGAGAAAGTGGCAAACAATCTGGTGCCGGTTCACCTGATTTTTGCACCCGACATTTGCAACACCCGTAGGGTTACAGATGCTTTGAACCTTTTAATAAAGTGGGACGTGGCTACCTCACTCCCCAGACGAAACGCAGAAGTGTAACACTTCTACTTCCCGCCGGCCTTCTGTGAGGATAATTTCCACAAGCAAAAGTTAAGCGAATATCCAATCAATCGATTTAAATTTAACCTTATTAATCGGTTTATATATAGACATTTCATAATATTAACGCCAACGTAAATAGTGGCTTGTTTGTAAATGTGAAAGTAGAACGTTGCTAATTATCCATTCATACATAAATCTTAACACCACATAACTAACTGTAAATATGCATTACTCTGACATTAAAACAGAATACGTCGTACTAGTTTATGTCATGTAAATAACACGACAAATACTATAAGATGTATGTATCATCAAATATTTGCAATATGTTACGGTAATTAATATGTTGGCAGTCTCTTAATGATAATTCACAGTATGTTTAGCTCAAGTAACGTTTTCAATTCAGCTGTAGAATAGAACTAACTTTTGTTCGAAGTACCTAAAACATTTTTTTCCATTCATAATTTTTTCAAGCACTTCCGCTATGTATCTATTTCTGCTAAAATCATATTGACATCGGACTCCGTTTATTGGCATTTCATTAAGACTCAGTGACATTTTTTTTAATGTTGAAGGTGCATGAGGGCAAAAACTAAATGATTCAGGTCAAATAATCTCGATAATCTAGGAAAAATGAATTACAAATTCGCAAGTACCTTTTCTGACAGTATACACACAGCAAGCTTTTTTTTAAGGTGTTTAACATAGTGAGGTTATTAAGCCACAAGATGATACACTAAGGTTTGTCGGTCGTCAGAATCTGTGGAGATGTGAATTTCCACAATAACTGGGAGTTGGGAATGGCGAGAACCGCTCAGAATAGTATTAGCGATTATTTTATGAATAATTTCTCGTAAAGTTGTTCATATAAAATATTTGAACATACACAAATCCGTGGATTCCGCAGCTCATAGATCCGGATAAGGTAATTCCAGATAATAGTCTATAATAGGGTTAAAAATTAGTTTCGACCGCAGTCTACAGTAATTTATGTGAAACTAGACTTGACTTGGTGGCTTTCTTTACTATAAGAATTTAAAGTTGGCTGGATAACGATAAGTATTATTATAAATGATCTCGGGATAGGAATTAAATAATCCTTGCTTTATTTGCATGCTTGAACAGACGCGATGCGGCCTTCTAGTTGCCGCACAACTCATTCACTTATTCCTGTTGACTAGATTTCTAAATTATCGGATTTATAATTAGATGTTTAAAATTTGTAGAAAGACTAGTAATAACGATTACATAAATTACTTACTTTACTCACAATTGGTTCACTGTTAATAACTTAGTATATTGAATGCTACTTCTCAATTTCACTACTACTTTTTACTTTGTGGTAGCGCAACACAACAACTTCTGCTGTAGACCGAATGTGCATGCATACCCGGGGAAATACCAGGGCTGCATAGACGACAACCCTGAAATGGAAGTATTAAAGTATTCTCTCGCTTTAAGTGGGAGTTCCGTGAGTGAGGTGGTTGAGGCTAAATTTTTAGAGGTTGTAAAGGCAACATCTACAAGTTCTCTGATATCGTACATGTTCATGCGCGGCGATATTGACTTAACATCGTCATCTCTGTGACGTGAAGTTCTTGAGTGTGCCAAGATTCTTGCCAGCACTCGCTACGGAAATACAGGTTGGATGACGCTCTTGTCCCGTGAGCAAAGGCGGTATTCAGCAGTCGCAGACCACACCATAAAAGGAGGCTGGATGCTCCAGCCGCCTTTTATAGGTCGAACTTCGATCGCTTTCTCCTTTAAAATTTTCTAGAATGTGGATCTATAAGGGCCGAATTTCTATTAACTTCCCATCTTCAAAGTTCGATCGTCTTTTTATATAGAATGTGTCTGAATAAGAAATCGTTTATTCTGCAGTAAAAATATAACATGAACTTTTTTTTAGTAATTTTTGGTCGAAAGACAAAATTCTCGTTAAACAGCGTTTAGATATGGTCAGTCATCCTGCGCTACAAGGTCAGCGATCTCCAGCGGAACGGATCTTGTCCGAAATGTAAAGTATATGTAAAGATTTCTAAATTATCGGATTTATAATTATATGTTTAAAATTTGTTGAAAGACTAGTAATAACGATTACATAAATAACACTCTTCAACTAATTCACAATTGGTTCACTGTTAATAACTTAGTATAGTGAATGCTAAAAAGACTAAATGTATTAAATCTACTTTGCCAATCGTGAAAAGTAATGAAGGTTTAGGAATTGTATTGAATAATGAACGGCTTGATTTGGTTGACAGTACAGTACTCTTGGGATAGCTATTGATGCAAAACTTCAATGTGGTCCTCATATATTCTCTGTCAGGGAGGCTTAGCTCGGCTGGATATGCAGTTAGAAAGATTCGACAGTGAAGAAGCAACAGCCAGATTAGTTTATTTTAGCTACTTTCATACCATTATGTCTTATTGTATCCTGCTATGGGGCCGAGCGGCTGATATTAAATCCATCTTCATTTTGCAGAAGAGAGCTGTTAGAGAAATTTATCAACTTCGCTGAAGGGACTCGCTTAAAAAAATATTTACGGATATAGATTTTCACGGTTCCATGTCAATATATTTTTGCACATATTATATATATTAAATGAAACTACTTTACGGATTTTATCGCGTTTTTTTTTTTTAAATAAAAAAAAAAAAAACGCGATAAAATCCGTAAAGTAGTTTCATTTAATATGTATAATATTCGCGTAAAATCAAGAAAACAACATATTATATATGTTAAGAAAAATATTCACAACTTTAGTAAATATTCTGATATTCATGACCGTAATACAAGAAACAGATACTGTTTAAAAAAATCTTTTTATAAGTTAGATGATTATTTAAATGACAAAGAAGCTTGTTGTTCCAATACTCCAGAACGGCATGAGAGACATATATTATAAGACAAATTATAAGACGTCGAAAAACGGTTTGAAAAAAATCTTACTTCGAATAAATGATTTTGATTTGATTTAATGAAAATTTGCAGAAAAGTCATGAAGTAAATAACCCAAAACATAATTATTGCTAACCTTATTATTATTAAAGACTGATTTAGGACGGCGAGATAAGGCAAGCATATTACCTTGATCTGTGACCCGCAGTATAAATCTTAAAAGCCGTTTGAAAAATCAAAATGGACTCGTTTTAGGTCGGTAATCAAACCAGGCATTGTTAATTTTTATACTTTACAATGGTTGTTAATTACGCTTTGAGTATCCCTAAGCAACTTTCATTGTAGTAAAATTTTTATTTTATTTTATAGAAAAATACGCATTATAATGAGTTGTACGTAACGGATTTTATCGTAATTCATTTTTTATTTGACTCACGATTTCGACTGCTCTTGAACAACTCAACTCGCAACTGGGTTTCTATTTGAATAAAATAAAGCTGAGTCAAATTAGCTTTTTTATTCAAAGACAAAACTATGCGTGTTAAAAAAAAGTATAAAGATAAGGAAGCTCGTTTCAACTGTCTCACTTTTTTATTTTATTTTCTTCAGTAACCTCCCTCATTAAGGACTTATTTACATTAGCTATCAACTTATAGAGGGCCTTATAAAGTGGAACAAAATTATATTGTTATAATTCTACTTAGATATGATAGTAATGATCTAGGTAATATTTTATTTTTATCAAACCTACCGTTCACGCTTATTAACGAAAATATACTTTATTCACGTTCAAAACTGATTTACAGCGGCTAGACGCTAATGTGTGATGGTCCTTAAGTACAATCTTCCCATTCAAAGGGAGATCAACATCAGCTTTCTCTGTCTAAAAAAACAGCCATCCCCCTCACACGCGCATTCATCGTCATTGACGGTACCAAAGCCGGTAACGTAGGCCTCAGCGCCCATCGTACCGCGACAAAGCTGTGCTGCGCCCGCGATAAAATGTTGCCTTCCAAATTTAAATTGAATTTTTTAATGTGACGGTTTTACAATTTATTTTGTGACGAACTGTGGACTCCCAAAAATGAGCAGTACCAGCAAAAGTGATCGAGAAGTGATGAAGAAAGTACCGAGTCTACCTTCATCACTACATTCTTCTGATGCTCCGTCTATCAGGGAATATCCTCCAGTAAGTATAATTTATGCCAATGATAACTTAGATTAATTTACATTATGTAAAAATAAATACGAAATAATATGAATTAGTGTAATCTATCATTTTACGTTTGTTTCATAATGTTGCATAATTTTATCGTTAATTTTAATATAAAATGATATGATATTCCACTGATTATACTTTTATTAAAGGTACAGTTACATACATAAATTTTCTTAACGGTGTACAATATTGAAGCTTCAAAATAAAAAAAGATTTAAAAGTTTAAATTGGAGTTTTCATCGCAATAAATAGTTCCTCGAACTTTTTGGTAAAAAGTTGTTAATACACATTGTGTTCTAAATTTAAATTCTAATCTTGAAATAACATTTGAAACTGAAATATTTTCTTGTGCTTACCCGATTACACAGTTGAAACTTATTTTACGGATTTATCCTTTTTATTTTTAATTTTAGTTTCCAACGTATTGAACCCATAGTAAAGTTTGGACCAAAAATAATTTCATTTAGTAAAATATTTATTTGGATAAGATCATGATTTTAAATGAAATTTAATAAATACAATAATAATATACTTAATGTAATTTTATACGCTGAAATGAAAAGAGTATTTACTAATGTCATACTTACGTTATTTTAATAATAAGAATAGAACTGCGATTACATAATAAAAAGTGGATTCTATTAACAGTTCGCTTTTTAGAGTGAAAATTTAATTCATTCAACACGACTACGACATTTGTATACAAATTTCCTTTAAAAATTATTCTCTAAGAATTACATGAATTATTTTAATCGAATATCAAGAATAAATGACACGTGCCGCTTTATGTGTGAAAAATTACGAAAGCACTCAATTGGACTTTCATATGTTAGTAATTTTATTGGATAAAGTTAGCTTTTACTTTTGCGAATTATAAAGCATTACGTTACAAGGCGTTAGTACTATCACTAGTATTGACGTAAGATTTTTTATTTTGATCTGAAGAACATTGTTTTAAATAATTTTAATAAATGTCTTTGCTTTAACCAACTATAAACGGAATTAGTCTTGACCGTTGTGTGGTATAATATACGTGTCCAATCTAAAACGATCAAGGCCCCGACTTGGTTTAGTATATTTTGGAACGGAATTTATTTGCGTAGAAATATCGCCTACTTAATAATGTATGGTGACGGGGATGCCGGTTTTTTTTCTCATACATTTAGCTTGTGAGTGAGAAATCGATCTAGTTATGATATAAATAGGTTTGTATGATTGTTGCGTCTGTTTGAAATTATCATTGAAGTTGATATTTATTTATATCAGCAAATATGATAAATTAATGTTTGATATAAATAAATATCAATTTACTTATTAAACCTTGGGAAACTTAAAGAAACACATCATTAAAATCTACTAAAGAAAAGCAGTTTTCATGCGTACTCTTAGCAATTATTTAAGTTTTTTTTTTTACGGTTTTTTTTATTCTTTTAACGCTTCGCTTAACTTCCATCGTTTCTATACCTTGTATGTTAAGATAGATATTATTGCGTATTAATTAACTATAAATTAACAGTTAGTTTAAAAGAAATGTACAGTTATCACTGAGTAATGATTTCATTATACGATGAGATAAAAGCATGTCACTAATTGAATGTGCCATTATTATTTTACAACACAATCGTCTTTTGTGGTCAACCGTTTACGGTTATCAAAAAAAATTTCATCAATACAATACATTAAGCGCCCGCGTAAGTTATGGTCCGGAAAGGAAAATTTTTTACCCATTACAACGAAGACCTGTGTCGATGATAAACTTCACGGTTGCAATGAAAAGAAGTTTCTTATCGCTCTTTCATAACCGTTGATAATGTTTTTTTTTTAAATTAATAACCACAGGTTAAGAAATGAAGTTATGTTTATTTTATCCTTTATACGAGCAATTCTTGTATATATGTATATATATATATATATATATATAAAATAAAAAAGCCGTTTCCGAGATTCCGATTATATAATATTTATAAAAATAGTTTTATTTAACTGAATACACGGATCCGTCATAACTTCTTATTACTTACATTATTGTTATCTAAAAATTATAATATCTATCTCCTTTTATTCAGATTGTATTTAAGCTTGTTTATTGGAGTTCCTTAATAGAAATAAAAAGTAGCTGCTGTCTGCGACTACGTCTGCGTGGAATAGGCTGAAAGTGTAACATTCAGACAAAAAGACAGATATACATAAAATATGTATATAAATTATGGCCTATGTTTTATTCTGATGTGTAGGCTATTTATTTTTTATTTGAATTTCAAATTATAAGCGTGTACAGTACAGAGAAAGTTTTATAATACAGTCTGATTAGACTTCGAACTACATTTTAAAACATCCATTTTTCACGTGGCAATATTTTATTTCACTGCAATATATATTTGAGCGGCATAATGTGACAAGAGCTGCTGCGGCTATGAGATCGGTTTCGCCCTTAAAATATCGAATTGCTCATTCTATCCGCATCGCAAACCGCACGCGTTACACAATTTTTGATTTCCACTATCAATTAAATTTGCACAAAACATCTCAATTATGACTACAAATATATTAGTATTAGATTTTGAGTACTTTCAGTAGTGCTTCACGAGCGGAGGTTTTTTTGGAGATAAATTATTAATTCAATTATCGCTATAAAAGCTTTCCTATTATTGAGATTTTTAAACAGAGGCTGGTTAATTTTTTATATTCTTTTTTTATTTGAAAGCTGGTGCTTCCCATGTGGTCCCATATTAATTTCATTGATATTGCATCTTGGGCGCCGGAGATACCTAGGCAACTCCTGAAAATCAATTATAAAATGGACTTGCTCCTAAAATACTGGCTACAAAACACTAACTCAAAATAAAAAATGCAGTCCGGTACAGACATCGATTTAAAGATCAATATGTACTCAAAAGTCAACAGTTTTGCCTTCAATAAATATAGACCTGCATTCGTATGTGCAACAGAAAACGTTACCATTTTTTTACTAACGAAAAACAAAACCGACGTCAAAAATCTCGCTCTGTTTGATTTTATAATTGATTTTCGGGAATTCCCTAAGTATCTCTGCAGCCCAAGATCCAATACCATGGAAAGCACCAGCTTTAAAAAAATAAGAATCATCAAAATCAGTTCAGTCATTTGAAAGTTCTGAGTTACCAAACATAACCGTCTTTCCGACCGATTACAACGTGGGCGTCTTCAAGGCAAGAGTGAATAGATTTCTACTGAGCTAGCGCGCTTCCCATCAACGGCTGCACTTACCATCAGGTGGGGTTGCAGTCAAATGCTGGCCAGTTTTGAATTAAAAAAATACAGTCGAATTGACAACCTCCACCTTTTGTAAAGTCGGTTGAAAATCAGCAACGATAGGTCATATTGTAGCTTTTCATACACTTAGAATATTAATTATTTTATTAAACATCAAAACCGATAGATTTTTAAATAATTTCATTCCAATGCATTCTTGTTATGCAATCTGTTTAAATATGTTTCACAAAAAGACAAAAATGAGTCAGCGCTAACAAGTTTGTATTCACTTAATTGACAATAAATTGTTAAAAGTTAAAAGCATTTGCCACTCCTGTTCTAGTATTGCATTTGATAAATATTTTCTTCTGCTGTGAAATATACTGATGCACGATTTATTTTATTTCTTTTTTATTTATATATTTTATATATTAGTCCACGATAATTGAAATTTTTTCAATCACGTGATTTTTTTATAGTTTTTTCTTGTTTTAAACAGATATGTTTAATAATAGGTCACAAATTATAACACACAGAGAAGTAATTTGGAGAAAACATAATACACAAATTTGTTACCCGCTTATACCTAAACACAGAATTCACTAATCGTAGAGATAAATAAATTGACGGACAAGCGTGTGTCTTTATTTCTGATAAAAGAATAATAATTACCTCTAAGCAAAAAACTTACAGAGTTAAAAATATAAATGCAAAACGCTTTACTTGAAAGAAAACTTTCCATTAAAAAAGATAATGTGTTACATTCAATCTATTTTACGTTTTATCAAATTAATAAAAGAGTGCAAACAAACAATGCGGCACTATATTATGACATAATAAAATGATATATTTTAAAAAAATGTAAAAAATTCAATGATTTATTTTCACATAACTGGCAAACTTGTATCTACAATTAAAAGTAATACAGGACGAATGGAATTTAAATTTCGAACTCACTCCGCTTTCTATATTACCGAAATCTCTGGCCGTCCTCCCTTTACTGATTGTTGTTGTGATTTTTAATGTCCGGTTATTTCCAGTTAGTTAGTTCTTTCGAAAAAAACCGGATCTCGGCCTACTCGGAATTCGAAATTTTAATTTCGAAGCTGCTTTACGCGTTGGTTCTTTTTTCGAAGCTTATTTCCATAACGAATTTTTTTGTCACTAAAACAGTGAATTTTTTGTAACTTTTACATCTACCTGTTATATATTATATGCTATCCTGTTATATACCTACTGTTATATTCATCATTCCATCAACCATTTGCTAAAAAATATTACTTTAGCATTCGTTTAGCATATATATTTTAATGTATAGAAAATAACATTGAAGACCGAATGACGACCCGAATGGCGTTGTGGGTTGTGTACCTGCCTCCTGCGCCAGAAGGTGTGGGTTCGATCCCCACTACTGGAAAAATATTATGTGTGATGAACATGGTGCTTTTCTAGTGTCTGGGTGTTTATATATGTATAATATGTATTTATTTATATAAAGAAAAGTATGTTTATCAATTTTCTAGCACCCATAGTACAAGCTTTGCTTAGTTTGGGACTGGAAAAATGTTGTGTAAAAATGTGTCCTAAAAATATTTATTTATTTATTGCAATAATTACTTTCTGCGTCACAGGATCCGGCGGAAGCGGTATACATAGAAAGTAGGTTCACAGCTCGGAAGGGCGAACAGCTGTTCCAGGAAGTCGAGGAACTCCTGGGCACGACACAGCCGTCGCGTCCCTGCACTCTGGTGTGGCGTGACGTTTCAGTACATGTCAAACTTAAAGATGGAAAATTGAAGAGACTTGTGAATAATGGTAATTGAATTTACTCCTTTTTTTATATAAGAAAAGCCAACGCTTGTTTGCCATCGCACCTGGTAAACAGTGCAGTTGCAAAAGTTAAATATTAACTCCACTATCTCTACACTGTTAAGCTTCTCACTGTTACCTTGAAGATGCCCTCGTTACATTCGGGCGATGAAGCAACAAAGTGGTTGTAGGAGTTGTACCGAATTTTTAGTTTCCCGAAGATAGAAATGAGAAGGGAGTAAATTCCAGTCCTTCCAACGCACTTCCTCCTTTTAACGGTGGTAGGGCCACGCAGCAGTCTCGGCTGTTGCACGAATGGGCAGGCCCGTCCGGGTAAGTACCACAACCACATTGAAGCGTAAAGTGGAAGGTGTTGCAAATGTACGGGCGGAGGTTATCACTTAACATCAGGTGAACCGCTTCCCACCTTCTCACATAAAGAACCATCTTATAATTTTTAGCTATCGAGCTAGTGCGTTCATCATAATGACGCTGTAGTCAGAAACTACCTAATTAATTAGTGATGTAGGCATATTTTAATAAAATTAAGAATGTAGTTATGAATGAATTCCTGTCGAAGAAAAGCAATGAATTTTGTATTGCAATATCCAAATTTCTTATCATTACTTATTGTTCTATCCAAAAGCTTCAAATTATCGTACAGTAACGGGCTCCAGTTACAATCTAATCTGATAACAACGAACTTTGTCTTAATAATCACGCCGAGAATTCAAAAAATTGCAAAAACAAATATATGTTTTTCTCAATATAACTATTATAACAGATTCGGTGGTAAGTAAGGACCATTATTCACGTATAATGGACGCTGGGAGTCTTTTGAAGAATTTCATAAGTCATACCATGAAATAATGTTGCGCATAACGTTAGCCGGATATGACGCAACAATTGCAGAAGTGATGAAATGATTAATAACGTATCGTTTACTTATTAATAGTATGACATAAATAATTGTATTGATATTTCCATTCTAAGAGATTTTTTCATTTTTTTTTCTTAAATCCCATAATTGGCGTCGAAATCTCGAGCAACGTCCAGTTCCGCGGTCAATTGGAAGGTAAGGCCAAATTGGCCTCAAAGAAGCTTGGCGTGCTCAGCAAGGCGAGACGGTACTTCACGGCTGCCCAACGCCTAAACCTGTATAAGGCGCAAATTCGGCCCCACATGGAGTACTGTTCTCACCTCTGGGCGGGAGCCCCCTATTACCAGCTTCTTCCATTTGACCGCATTCAACGTAGGGCGGCTAGGGTTATCGACGATCAAAGTCTTTCCGATCGGCTTGATCCTCTGGCTCTGCGTAGAGATGTTGGATCACTCTGCATCTTCTACCGCATTTATCACGGGGAGTGTTCTGAGGAATTGTTTGGATTGATCCCGGCGGCTGAATTCCACCATCGGACATCGCGCCAGAACCAAAAATTTCATCCACACCACCTCGATGTCCAACGTTCCACAACAGCGCGATTTTTAAGGCATTTCTTGCCTCGCACAACCACTCCGTGGAACCAACTGCCGTCGGCGGTCTTTCCGAATCGTTACGACCTGGGAACCTTCAAAAAGAGAGCGTACTCTTTCTTAAAAGGCCGGCAACGCATTTGTGAGCCCTCGGGTGTTGCAGGTGTTCGTGGGCGGCGGTAATCACTTACCATCAGGTGAGCCTCCTGCTCGTTTGCCCCTTTTCTCCAAAAAAAAAAAAACATTACGTTTACAAAGTTGTTTGGGGATTCAATGCAAATTTTCAAAGTATTCAAATGTAATATTGTAACATCAACGAATTGACTTATAATAAAGACAAATCTTATTTATACTAAGAAGATACTATAATATGAAGAATTTAAATATATAAGTAGTTTGTTATCGACGTTTTTTTTTCTGTAAAAACATCCGTGATATTTTTATTATTGCTGTATACGTATATTAACGAAAGAATTTTTAATATATGTTTCAATGAAACGTATTTACGACAAATAAGTTATGATCAAATAATTCAATTACAATTTAAAAAGCACCAAAAAAAACTAAAATGTATTTTTTTTTAATTTGCCTTATACTTTGCAGAGATTGCTAAACTAAATTTTGTGAGAGGGTTAAATCAAGACGGTTACTTATGAGTATTGTGTTTAACAAAAAATATATAACCTACGGTCGGAAAAATGTACTAACATTAATAATTATCTAAGTTTAACCCGTTAAGGAAAACTAACAGTTTTTAAAAACATTACATTCATTTTGATTTTGCTCTACAAGTAGATTCATAGTTGTGCCCTTGATTCCTGGCATTTGATTGATCCATGCGGACGTCATGTGAGACGCGGCGGCTAAATGGTTCAATGGGGCGTCTGCCTTCATTCACCACGTACTCACTTTAACGACTGTAACGTATGCAGTGTACCTTGAATTCTAACTAAATAATTTGAACGTCCATTTTCTAATTGGCACACTTCCTTTGGCACGTTTGGAAAATACATGAGAGATAAATTTTTACGATAATACACACTGACACCGAGATGGTGAAATTGGTTGCAAAGCGACCAGGTTGACTGTATTGCCATGCCGCCCAAAAACGACTTTTTGACATTTACCTATAAATCCAAGTCTTTTTATTTTTCTTTTGTAACGGTAAAGAAGTTTTTTTTTGTATAACTGATGTTACGCTTCTAGTCCTTAGACTATTAAAACTTCATTGAACGCGGAACCGGTGGGCTAGCCGGAACCCACGGGTTTGAGGCCCTCAGTGGGTAGGGCCGCGCATGTACTCATGCGTTAGTTGTGATGTCGCCTACGGGCCATCGAGGTTCGGTGCGGACCGTGACCCCGATGGCCGTTGACTGCGCTTGGTTAGTCGGTGACTGGGGGCGGTGACAACCGCCCTGGAACGCGGGTGTACCTAGTGTACGCGTTGTGTTGGTTTCGCCGTGCTCGAAGGCAGGGACGAACTATGGTGTTTGTTGATACACTAAGTGTGTAGTGTTATTTGGCGGGATCTAAAGAATTTTATATATCTATATCTATAACTATCATTTGTACACACGTATTTTGGGTGCTGTTTTAGAAGTTAGTAATTTTTTACCATATAATAGCAAAAATGTTCCGATTATGACACTAATGCACTTACAAGATATTATTCAAAAGTGAATAAATGCAATGTTTTTAAGACTTCATATAGTATGAAACCTTAAGATGATTTCGTTTTTAATGCACAGACAAACAAAGGTGTTCGTTTTTTAAATTTTGCTTGTGGCCAAGAAACTGTCCTTAGCTGACTAATTTTCGCCACGTGACAACTTTCGGAATTTTAAATGCAATCAAATTCATTATACGGCTTTATAATTTTTTCTACATTTATTACTTAGTGAACTCAAAGCGTTCAGCGAATTCGTCTTCTTATCGTTCATTCCGTCTTGTGATTGGTTCTGCTGTGCGCATCTGTTTCCTCCAGTTCTATCAGTGATAAAGTTTGACAGTAAAGGTATAGAATTAAATGTTCCCACGGTTGTAAAAGAAAAAACTGTATGAAACATTAGACCCTACGATACGATCTGATTACTCTTAGATATTCTACTACCGGAATTGCGAACGGAAACGGTGGCTGAACGTTCGATATGTACACCTTAACCAAAAAACGCAGACGCAGAGAACTTTGTTCGCTAGAGCGTTAAGCTCATTGTCTCCAAAGCAGTGTTAATTCCAATTGACGTATCAGAAAACGAAATTCAATAAAACAAAAGGCATTAAAGATGTATGGAAATAAGAACGATAACATTTAATGTTTCAGTAAGACGAACCAACCTTTCTCTTTTACTTTTTTATACCTCTCTGGCTGTAAGCAAAACAATAGTAAACACTATCTTACACATTGTGCTAGTGTAAGGGAACGGCTTAAAGGTAGCTTTTGCAAATAACGCCATTACCCCTGAGAGCTTCCTCGTATTTAATAACTCAATAAAATTTACTTTGAATAAAGGTATTACACAATAATTAAAGTTATTTAAATAGTTCGTGAAAATAATAAATTATCCTTGACTTTGGAATGCGTGACTGGATATAATTGGTTTTAAAGCCATGCGTAGATAGGATCAAGTAAAAAACTTAAAGTTCAGCTGGGTATGACTATGACGTCAAACTCTTCAATTGTTATAAATGTAAGTCATTAAGGAAACTACTTCAATTGTAACGTGTAAATGTAAGCCATTAAGGATCAATTTGGTTTTTCTTTTCCGTTTATCAAATTCCAACAATAACATCATGGACGTAAATGAAATTGTTCTCAATGTTTTATTGTTGGTCTATGTTAATCGATAATTTTAATAATGTTGCTATAAATTAAAGACAAGCTTAAGTAATGAAGACTTCGCCGACGTTAATGCAAAAGAGTTTTAAAGAAATGTAAAACCCGATTATAACTATCCTGTTACAGATTACTGTAATAAGATTGAAAGTATTTCAGGCAATTAGTTAGCATCGTAAATGTTTACAGTGACTTGTTTGATCCCCTTTATGTATATAAACTAGAATTGTAAATTTTAAGTGTCCGGCCGTTTACATTGAATGTTAAAGTAGAATCCAGTGATCTGGGCTAGGAAAAAGATTGCCTGCAATCAGCAGTAGTTCAGTAGTGTTCCGTGATAGGTCATTATCAGGGTACTCGCTTTTAATTTAATATGCTCTAGCAATATGAGTTCAATTCCCGGTTCCGTCACCGATAAAATTGTTCATCATAAGTGCTGACTCATCACATGATCAGCGGTGAAGGAGAACATTGTGAGGAAACAAGGCAAAAGTGGATAGGTTTTTAATGAGCTAGCGCGCTTACCATCAAAGGCTGCATCGCCACTTACCATTAGGTGGGATGGCAGTCAAGTGCTGGCCAGTTCTAAATAAAAAAAGCATATTTTTGAAAATATTTCGAAGATACTTGAAGTCCGCCTATCAGCTGTGGGTTCGCGTGGTGAACTAAGCCATAATACCTTCTGTACAGAGCAGACCTTTGAACAGCTATGACAATAAGCTGTTATTTTTACAATAGTGCCTCTATATCATTTTGTCGGAGGGAATAATTCGCCGAGAGATAGTCGGAAAATAGTTCAAGGGCCGTGTGGTCAGTGACTTCTACTCTATACGTGCATGCCTATATTTGGCTTAGCACGGGAATATCGAGTAGAGTACAGTGCAAGAACCTTTTTTAACGTATTTATATAATATAATAACATGATTTTTGTAATGTGGTGCCTGCCATACAACTAGTTAGCCAGTCGTTGGGGACGATATTATAATTGGCAATTTAGGATCGCGTTTATTAAGTTTTAAGAAGATGTCTTGCAGTAGAGAAACGTCTACATTATATTCGCGTAAGAAATTCGTGATTTCATCGTTCTGACCGTCACAATACCAGCGACCGAGTTAAGATTCTACCTACGGTTGTACAAGCCATCTTAAATTTGCCTTACATTTTGCATTATGCATAAATCAATTGTTGCGTTTCTCATCACGTGATGTACACGGTACAGTAATATTGACGAAAAAATGATTACTTCATATAATATCGTACAGTAACGATGAAGTTACAAACAGCGCGTAAGAAGCTAGAAGCTAAGTCTAGTTAATTCTAAAAGGGTGCTAAGGGGATAAAGATGACATTTTTTTCTTTCGACGAAAAAGAGCGCTGACCCAAGCAATCAATGTAGAGTACGAGTACATACAAAAACTGTGGTCGCTGTCATAGACTCCCTTTATGTCGGAGGCTACCTCCCTACTTGTATATTAATTAATCTATATAATCCATTGTGTTTTGAATGGACCCATTTCTTTTCACGCGGCCTCACAGTGTGAACCCTGATAAAGTGTAAGGGATGATCATTCATATTATGTCCTTGCTCGTTAAGAGTTTATTCGCTTTTGGTAGCAGACGTATTAGCGCTCGAATACGAGAGACAGTGACAGATTAAATTCGAAAAAGGGAAAACTAATTGGCGCTCGTAAGTTGTAAACTGCCGCCTGTCATTTTTATGTGCCAACGGAGAATGTTTCGCGCATCTGTATTTTTTGTACTTGTGCTTAAAAATAATGGACGTGATTTTAACACACGTTCGATTTCGGGTACTGTCCAAAACAAAGCTGACAACGGATTTCGATTACTGTTTTATAAACGTTGTAAACAAATTAGTTTTATAATTTTTGAAAACAGTTTTTTTATGTCTATTTGATCACAAAAATGACATCATCGAGTAAATGATAACCAATTGATGTGTTTGGAACTTATTTAATCATAAAAGAAGCGTCTGGTTGATCTTCCTACAACTTTGGGCCATGCAACAGCCTCGGCTGTTGTAAGAATGGGCAGGCTCGTCGGGGTAAGTACCACGACCTCACAGAAGACCGGCGTAAAGTGGAAGTATAATACTTTCAGATTTCGTCTGGTAAGTGAGGCGGCTGGAGCCCAATTTTCAAAAGGTTGTCGACACATCTGGAACCCAAGGGTGTTACAGATGTCCATGGGCGTCGGTATTCACTTAACATCTCCAGTGTACATGTCAGATAAGAAAGAACATCGATTATATAAAGAGGCGTACGGTGTACAGAATTATACATGTATTAATATTATATAAACATATGTCAATCTTTTAAATGTTGTCAGCCGTAAAATTTCCATATAAGCTGCATTTATTTACGCAATAAACACCCGGTGTGAAATCTTTACGGACCGGTATTACTTCTGAACTTCATTATTTCATTTAAGAATTTGCGCCAACGCTACTACTTGTTAATTAATTAACGACGGAAATTAAAACCGAAAATCAAACACAATCATCCTCCTGTCCTTAAACCGCTTAACCTTAACCACGCTAGATGGGGCGCAACATATGAATGATATTGTTAGTGGTTTTGGCTAGATTTTTTACGACAGCCTGCCTATCGTGGCGGAGGGGCTTAGTAGCCGAGTCTTGCGGCTGCAAAGTCCCTCCGGTCGGCGGAGGGACAGACCAGGTCCGCTGCTGAGGGCTGGCAGGCTTGTTGCTTATTCGCACTGGCTCTCCTGGCTCCCATGGCCTCTGGTTATCGAACTCGGGGAGTTCGTTATCCGTGAAAATGATTCCAAGTAGGAAGGCGCGCTTGATGTTCCAGCATGCCTTACCAGGAGGAGAGTGAAGGTCTCCTCGAGAATCTGGGATTCTGCTAAGGCAGCCACCGCTGTCAGGGTCGCAGAAGTGTGCGAAAGCGTAGCTGGAACATAGTGGTTGTTTTAGTTGGTGTGAGTACGACATAACTAGTCCTGCGAGGGAGGGTATGCGTAGGCAATTCCCCCACGTTAACAAAAATAGGGTTACACAAGTACTTGTTCCGAGTGGAAATCGAGCCCACAACCCTTGGCGTCAAAGGCAATAGCTTGTAACTGCGTATCAAATACAATATAATCCATGAAACAGTCTCGATTGGCGTAATAATTTAATTGGAACCTAATTGTTTTAAATGCATTATAATTGTATTTTAAAACTAAAATGATTTGTAGATTTAAGTGATATGGAGAGTAGACAAAGTATGGTATTGCAGATGATTTTTTACATTTAAACCTTAATAAATACAAGTGTTGCGTCTTTGGTATGTATGCATGGAAAATAAATGGACTTTACTTGTTTAACAAAAGCGTTTACTGGTCGTCAAAATTACAAGAAGGTTCAAATTTCTCCATCAACCTACATATAAGGAGTATCGGCAATCACAACCCGTCCACACGTGTATCACGATGCAATTTCAAATGCTTCAACAACAAGATAAGTTCATCTTGTTGAGGATGTGCATAGCCATAGGTGAGTCTAGTACTAACCTATAACGATGGATCCAAAGTAAACTGCCCTAAGCGAAAAAATCTAATTTTACAAGAGAGCAGTTTAAAGTAGCCAGAAAGGTATTTTGGGTCAAATCTTGTGAACTACTGAAGTAATTTTATTGAAATTTTTCAATAAATATTATTAACATTTGTTATTTATCGATTGAGACAATTTTTTTTGTAATTTAAATATATTATGAGATTTTGCACTTTCGACTTTTTACATCGTTGATTTTCTTTTATTCATCTTTAATTATTCCACGTAAAAAGGCTTTTGTTATCTTCCGCTCATATACGAGAATCAGTATTAATATATGTTTTTATACTAAAATATGTTATTAAGTCAATAGTAACACCTAAATAATGAGGGCGTTATCTTAGTAAACCAGACACAGTAAAAAGTTTGTTAAGTATGAAATTTGTAAAATATTTTTCATAACTTACGAAAAATACGTTTAAAATAAGGCGCATATGATATAACGAAAACCAAACTACGTAAAAAGGCAGATGGTATTTTAAACCTCTATACGAGGTTTTCAGTAAGTTAATATTTTGAAAGATAAATTTCATGCCAATGAAATAAATATAAGTTATAGTTTTATATATAATATATAAAATTATGTCTTTTCCTGGACACTCAGTCTCATTATTTTCGTTACGAGGCTCGTCTTCGATGGTTAAATCAGTTCTGTTGTGTTTATTTATGGTTTTATTTATAATTTTTTTGGCTTTTGTAAATTGCACACCTTTTTGGTATCATGTTCGTTTAAACCAAAATATAATTTTCGCTTAAAAGGCACGAGCACAGCTATTATAAAAGACAATCGCCAAAAACTGAGTTAAACGGCTGAAGCGGTACCTCCGCCCCTTCGCCACATCTCCGACGCGATTTCTCTACTCCTTACATGGATCAATCGTTCCATTGGACTTTATACGCGACTAAATTGTGCACATACGCCTGTTTGCCTAAAATTTAATTTTGGATTTTACAAGAAAAAATTTTTTTTTTGTTTCTTATTTTCATAGAATAGGGCAAAATTAATTTATTGCGCTAATAATTGGACAAAGGCGTAAGCGGCAGTTCGCCCCTTCACGTAGGAACCATCGATAATACCATTCTTCCAAATTGTCTACCAAATTACCTTCTCTTTAGTATACGGCATTTTATAATAGAGATATACGTATTTCTGGTTATCAGAATATAATTGTTTACCTTTTGTTAGGCGTAATTAACATGCTAATATAGTACTATGCTGTGGTCCTATTAAAGTATAAAAAATTAATATAAATCTTTATTCTTGTTGACAGTGAGTGGCATCGCTAAGCCTGGCACGCTCGTCGCTCTAATGGGTCCAAGGTAAGGATATCAGATTTTTTGTCACATACGTTTATGTATTTTTTTTATTGCTTAAATTGTGATTTTTGAGTTGCTACCGAAATAGGTTAAATTCTTGTTGAAAGGATTCATCGCAGTCTTGAATTTTTTTATCTTTTTATCGTAACTAGTATTCAATCTACTTCGCCCTTTGGTTGAAGTTTGACTTTAATATGTTAAGTTTTGAATAAAATGATTTTCATGAATGTTTCCATTAAACTGGTATTTAAAAATCGTGACTGTTTGACAGAATAGACTGTGACATTGACAGTATGTTAATCAACCTTCAACTTCAAATTTGTCATTTTGTCACACTCTTCCGCGCGCGTTGAGTCGTCTCAGTATGCTTTATAAATTTTTAAAAACAGCTCTTACTTTAGAATAACATTAGCATTTACAAACATAAATTTCACGTGGACAAACACCCAGATGCGAAACAATCTGTTGATCACACAAATAGTTGTCCCGTGACGGAATAGAATCCATGACCCCCGACGCCGAAGCCAATACCTCACCAACTGCGCCACGGAGTCAAACAAAATTAGTTTTGTCGAACACAGCAAAGCCGTTGTTGGTAAATAAATTATATGTAGAACCAATTACGGTTATATGAGTTACTATTTATGTAACTCATGTGTTTAAGACAAAATTTATCACTACATACTATATTGGACGATATTTCTATGGGAAGCGATTTAAATATCAAAACCTAAGCCATTGTTGAAACTCAAATCAAATTATTATTACTTAGATTAAGAGTAAGTTTGATTTTTGAACACCTTTCACAGAGCGTGCCGCGTAAATTTATTTTTATTATTCATGGACTTCTTCCTAGGTTAGGTAGGGACGGCTAGGTTCCCAAAGAACTCAATCGTTTACCTAAAGTGCTTTGAAAAGTTTTTCGAGTCGAGGAAACCCCCTTGAGGCATTGGAGTAAACAATGAAAAGTCCACTTAATCTCCCGAGACGTGAACTCGGCCAGGAGCGTGCCTAAAGTGCTTTGAAAACTTTTTCGCGTCGAGGAAACCCCCTTGAGGTATTGGAATAGACAATGGAAAGCCCACCCAATTTCCCGAGACGTGCGCGAAGCCGTAAAATGGCCGTGAAGCATATCGATAATTCGATACGAGCGCTGTTTCGGAAAACGTATACTGCACGGAGCGTATCCGATTACAGGCTTACCCAACTGGACTGATTAAGGTATTCGGGTCGGAGGGGCGAAGCGGTCGGCGGCGGGGCATTTAGGTCACGAACCCCGAAAGATTATTCCAAAAATTCTAATTACGAAACTCCAAATGCCGAAACAGCTACGGTGTTGTTTGATCGAGTCGGATCTGGACTTGATAATTACGCGTGTTGAACCGTAAATTACATCAATGTCGATGCGCTAACAAGTCGTAAATGCGGGGAGTCCCCACACGGGCAAGCAATAACTTTGGATCCCTTTTTACGCTGCGCTCACGGAGGGGTGTGATTTTCCATGATTAAACTTCATATGATGCAAAATGCACTCATGATTGAATGCTTTTGTGAAGTAAATAGAAACAAGCTCCCTATTTGGCTTAGTGGCTTTAGAGTCAGGGTGCGAATTCCAAAGACGTGGGTTCGATTCCCACAGCGGTGAAGAACTTTTCGTGCTTTTATCTACAAATCTTAATGTTTAATCTTAAGTGCAGAGATTAGCACTATAAAAATTTAAATTAAACTAATAGTCAACAAGTGAATGGAATACATTTTTACTCATTCCCGAAGATTTTTCCCAAACATGTATACCAAAACACAAGCACAAAAACATCCTAGTCGTAAATAAATACGTATATTTGAGAGATTTCTTAAACCTAATCATCGTTTACTTCACACATTAAAAAAAGCGAACTGTATACATTACACAATACAGTTTTAATTAGTATAAGTATGAATTGAGAACATAACCATATCCAAATTAAATGTTAGACTAAATATTTATTTTTACTTATAACTTTAGTAACTGTATTAATTACTATTATAACTATGGTTGTAAAAAGTTAATCACGTATCGAAAATGTGGAAGATGTGAAATTGTATTTCTTATAATTAATTGATGGACTCGCTAAGACATGTCTTATGATCCTTTTTAAGATAGTCTTTATGGCTGCCGTTTCGGCTGGAGTCATCTTATATTTATATTCAACTAGCAGACCCGCGTAGCTTCGTCTGCGCCAAATCTGTTTTAACGGTTTTAATTGTATTTCCAATCATAATATGTTATTTATTAGATAAGTTTACCTTACACTGTGTATTTATTACCTTACACTCTGCCATCTGTTAACAACTTATGGAACTCACAGATAATTATTACAATGTGTCATGTAATGAACAAATTATTTGCAATAAAAATATATTGCAACTTTAAATTGAGATATTTTTCTATTTTATTTTATTTTTATTTCTATTTTATTTCTAAAAGGTCTATCAACAACTGTTTACACTACATCTTAATAATAAAAAAGAAAAGAAACAATAAGAACACGTATAAGTGTAACAATAACTTAAAGATAAGCACAGCAAGTACAGTTAAACATCATAACAATAAATATAAAATTAAAACTATAAATAATGAAATAGTAAAAAAATAAATAAAAATGTGGCTTAAAATAAACAGCTGTAAAATAAATTATAATTAAATAAATTAGCTGTAATATAAACTATTCTGTCTCTTAAGTTGGATAAAACTGCACATTGTGTGTAAATTGATTAAAATCGGTTCGATTAGGAGTTCATGGCGGAAAAACAACGGGACACGAAATTTTTATATATATGAATATTAAACCCACTCAACGTTACACATTCCTAATGGTTATCTTAAGATCTCACTACAATTTTGTTGATTTTATAATATATTTGTATGTACTACCTTTATATTTTGTGGGATCCCATCTCAGAGTTCTGAAAAAGAATATAACAGGTTTATTTAAATAAATTTCTTTGTTGTTTTTACACTCATTATTTTTTTAATGTATCTTAAGTATCCTCGTATTTAATATTTAAATATAGGTAATCTTAACCCTGATCATTTTTAATTCCTCTCGTAAACAAAATCAATGTCAAATTTTCGTTTGAATAACATTTTAAGGACATAGCAATGGTATCAGATTCAATATAATCATAATATCAATTAATGAACGGTATACTGGGATTGAAGTTTACTTTTTTTTGAATCGTATAAAACTAGTGAAGCTTTTATGTTTCTTTAGCTTGTTTTTTTTTTTGGGATAAAGCAATAACAAGTTGTATGTCGACCTGTTATAAATTTAGGCTAAATTAATCTTTTGCGCTTTGTAACTTCAATAATAAATCCGTTTCGGTTGTTCGTAACTGTCGGTAAACAGGACTATTACTTATGTTAATATTCGTAAATCAATCAAATAGCCTCGGCCCAAACGGCCGTGTTTCTATTATGTTTCTATGTTGTAATTTCTACATCCAAGACTCCTATGAAGGCTTTGTGTTGTAAATAATTTGTTAACAAAGAATGTCTAGAATGCCTAGCATTTTCGTCCATGGGTGGCGGTTATCACTTCACATCAGGTGAACCGCCTGCCTTCTTCGTAGATAAAAAAATGGCATTAACTTCGGCTTTTGTAATCTTTATTCAAAGTAATTGCATTAAACAATAAAATAGTCCATATATTATGTACATAAAGAGTATAATTATAATAATACTGGCTCCGTGGCGCAGTTGCCAAAGTATTGGCTTCTGCTGCGTCACGGGTCGAGGGTTCGATTCCCACACGGGACAACTATTTGTGTGACCCACAGATAGTTGTTTCGGATCTGGGTGTTTGTCCACGTGAAATTTATGTTTGTAAAACGTCCTTACAACACAGGATAATGTTATCCTAAAGTAAGGCCAATGTTTTTAATAATAAAGAAAAAAAAGAATGCACCTCCTGGAGGAATTGACTACAAAAACTGAATTGTACCAGACCGAAGTCGGCTTGCGAAGTTTGCTGTATCTATTAGAATTTAATTATTAATGAGATATTTAAACACAATTATAAACAGTTTCGACTGTCATCCAAGACTAGTGTGTTCATGATATGGAAAATAAAACCAATTACGAATGACTTTGAAGAAGAAAAACAAATCATAATATACATAGCAAATTTTATGATAAGAAGGCATTAAAATCATTGACAATTAACTAGAAAGCTATTATTTTTGTACATATTACTATGCAATAGATGAAATTCAAGTCAAAGTCAAAATGCAAGTCAAAATATCTTCATTCAATTTATGAGAGATGTCGTAGGACACGCGCTGAATATTGCATATTTTATTTTTATGTGAGAAGGTGGTAAGCGAACGATTGGTTTACTTTGTGTTAAGTGATAGCCGCCGCCCGTGGATATCTGGAATAAGAGTTATTGTTGTGTTAACCAAAACAGACAAACATTTGTGTTTACTTATTGCTATGAATTTCAGTTAAAATATTGATATATTTCGTATCCATCCGGGGCTACCAATTTTAAACAATGTAATCTATACAAAAAAACATTTTCCAAAAATTTACAAATTTTCGAAATCTATTTACACAATCAAATGTGACTTTTATAATATTATTAGCATAAATAACAAATAGCGTAATTTTTTAAAACTAAACAATTTGAAACATTTTAATTTATGATGCCCAATTTGTACGTAATTTTATTTTTATTTAATAATATGATGTTTGTATCACGGTACCCTTCCCCTAATGGAGTTTTTGTGCCGCTATGTTATCACATTTTTTGCACATTTTGAATTGACTTTTAATTTACGAAAAGTAATTGTGACATTTGGGCTAGTTATTGCAATTTATTCCTTTTTTGTCGCATATTCAAACAACAGTTCATTATTTTTTGCACCTGAGATTCAATAAGAAATTATCGCATTAAATACTTAATGTCTTGGTTAGTAAGTGGCGCAGTTGCTTCGGCCCTGGGGATCTAGGGTTCTATTCCCCCATGAGACCTTGCCCATCATTTGTGTGATCCGGATCTGGGTGTTTGTACTCAACAAAACGGTTCTCAACAAAATAAAGGGTTGACGTGAGGCAGGCCAAATCTTTACACCTAAAAAAATAATAACAAAACGTTTTGTAGCGACGACTTTAACAAGGAATGACATGCAAGTGATTCCTACCACATGATTGCATGCACTGCATTCCTATGCTGTAAATCAAAAACAATCAATCATGGATGATACAGGCTCATGGTGTAAATGTAAATCGAAGTGTACTTAACCGTCTTTGGCACCGTGCCGTAACACCAATAGGGGACTCCGCAGGTCTTGGTCGATAAAGGAGTAACTCTGCTCGGAAAAATCGTTTCATGCAACTCACTGCAAGACGATAACCTAAGATCTGAGTCCCCAAACGACATGTACGAAGCAACTGCAAGAGCATGGCCTTAAAGTACAACGCTCGATAGGATGCCCACCCATCTTCTTGGAAATCGAGGTCGCCGAGAAGTAGAGGGAGCGTACAGTGGCCGCAAGATCGATGAGATAAAATCCTATTTAATGCCGAGTCTCAATTTGGATTTAGACCCGATTCGAAATGAATAAGAGTCTATTGAAGTCATGGAGAGAGTGAGCGACTGGAGTGTGTCCTAGAAGTTTATATCTCTATACAGCAATAGGTCAGCGGTAATGATTTCGCCGGAATAATTAAGGACAGCCGAACTGAACCCATTTTCATAAACGATAACTTAGATGATGATTCTTACGTCAAAAACATTCTGCTACACATCCTTTCATTTTCACTGAGTATCGGCTCAGAACTTACTCTGATGCTCGACAATGCTCGATGCCATACAGCCAGGAAGACTCAAGAATCGCTCTCACAGGAGATCATTAAAGTTCTGTCGTGGCTTACTTAATAGCCGGACGTAAACTCGATTGAGCACACGCGGGATATACTCTAGAGGAAAGTGTTGGTCTGAACCGTTTAACCACCACACAACAACTGTAGGAACTATTGAAATTTGGTTGGGATTACTAGTACTTTTTCTTATTTATGCTTTTAGTAAGTGGCTCAAATATGAGTATCTTAGTTTTGATTATGTATTTGTGTCATTTGCTGTTGAAACTTTGGCCCTGTGGCGTCCCCGTACATCGAAATTTATGAAAGGTTTACGTCCTACGCTTAACGCCTTGGCTGGCGACAACAGAGCTAGTTCTTTTCTCTCTCAAAGGTTAAGCAAAACTGTTCAGCGAGGAAATACAGCTAGCGTTCCTGGCACCATGCCGCGTTCATTAGATTTATTAGATAATATGCAATTTAGATAGATTTACTGTTGTAAATGTTGGATACATAAATGTTTCTTTAATAGTTAGAAAAAATTATATACAATAGAATATTTTCTTAAAAATAATATCAACGAAAGATTTGCAAAATAAATTTTCGTTTTCTTTACAGTGGCGCAGGCAAAACAACGTTGATGTCTGCTCTAGCTTATAGAAATCCAGGTAAGTGAAAATTTTAAATTAAACATCGAGTACAACACAGTAATTGATGATAATTTATTATGCTTAGGACTTACTCGTACAATTTTATCTTACAATTTTATCATAGGTCACATTATTAAATGACCCTTGATTGTAGGACCTTCACAACACCTTTACATTCTTGAGCTGCAGGTGTCCTAGAAAAGGCCAAAGTCATATCGAAACGAAACAACACAACATAATAACAACCCGAATTCCGAGAATATATAATTAGTGTGTAGACAGGACCGTAAGCAAAACGACAAACAAAACAAAAAAGTGATTTTGCAAAAAATAGTTTAGCAATTTTTTTAAGCCTTAAATCGAAATTTACAATTCAAATTGCTGTTATGACACATACTTCACGGTGGTAGGGCAACGCAGCAGCCTCGACTGTTGCACGAATGGCCAGGCTCGTCCGGGTAAGTACCACGACCTCACAGAAGACCGGCGTAAAGTGGATGTATAATATTTTCGCGTTTCGTCTGGTGAGTGAGGTGGCCGGAGCAAAATTTCAAAAGGTTGTCAACGCATCTGGAACCCTCGGGTGTAGCAGATGTCCATGGGCGGCGGTATTCACTTAACATCAGGTGAACCGTCAGCTCGCGTGGCAACTTTTCACGTAAAAAAATATTATGTGTCTCCTTACGCAAATATTTGATTGAATTGTTTTTAATAACGGCATGATTTATTATTAACTATTTTTAAATAAAATTATGGCTAGATGCGAGATCAAGTGTGACTAGATGCGAGGTCCATGTAATTTGAATGAATTACAGTCTGTTGATTTATAAAATATAGTTTCGATGGTTAAAGTTGATAGATATTTATTTCATTCAAATCCTTGTTGAAAAATAATTCGTTTTATTAGCAATTAATCAATCATCATCAATAATAATAATATTAATAAAATTGGCAGATTTTATTATTATTATTATTTCTCATCATAATTCATTGATTCTCTATTGTTTTTTTTTTGCCAAATTTAAGGACTTTATAAAAATGCTTAAGTTTAAGTTTTATAGTGCTAATCTCTTTAATTAAGATGAAAAATTTGTAGAAAAGAGTACGAAAAGTTTTAAGGCGAACTATTTGAATGTTGTAAAGGATATAACAATGGATGCGCCATTGCTTGAAATGCGAAGAAACAATGTAGATAAAAGACGTTGAGATCTTCCTTGGTGTGGCAATCAGCCTTTTAGCTAAGTGGTTAAAGCGTCAGGGCGCGAATCCCGAAGACGTGGGTCCGATGCTACAGCGGTGAAAACCTTTTCGTACTGTTTTCTATAAATCTTAACATTATTAAAATTTGTTAGTGAATACTTGATGTATTGTTGAGTATCTATTACATAAAATCTTTTTTAAAACAAAAAGGACTTATTGACGCGTTACATTAGTTAATGATAACCGGCTGTTAAAAGTTGGAAGTCAACTTATCATTTTTAGATTAGTTATTGATAACCTGTCAACTTTAAATTTTTTGCCAGTGGGAACGGTCACAGACGGAGATGTCGCAATGAATGGCATGCCAGTGGGTGATTTCATGCACCAACAGAGCGGCTACATGCACCAAGATGAGCTCTTCGTGGAGAACCTTACAGTTATCGAGCACCTATCTATTATGGTATGCAAAACTAAAATCTAAGTATTTATACATTAATTTGCCATCCTACAGTCGTCGCTTTTTTCGCTTGGATTATATCAGAAACATTAATGATAGATAGTTTACTTAATAACACTTAATTTGTACGGTTTCTCCTAAAAGAACCTAGTTAAGTCCTTTGCCTCTCTTCTATCATGAAATATACACATATAGAAATAACATTTAAGTATAAATAAACTATAAAAATATAAATTAAAAAAACTATGATATGACAAAAAAATCTGAATCATAGGCCAACCGGTTCTTGATATACTTTTTTTTTCACAATTTCTCGGCACGTGTCTGACACAATATCTGATCAGTAAAATTAAGAATGTCGCCGCTATTATGACATAATGAATAATCGTTACGAGTTAATTTCTAAATGCTCATTCTTAATTTCTTGTATTTACGCGATTGCACATTATAAATGAAACTAATTTTACAGATTTATCACGTTTATTTTTAATTTTCCTGGATTTTTAAATCCAGTCCAGTGTCCATGAACCCTTTACAGCGTTCATGGTCACGGGACAGACTGAGGCGTTGGACGTCTGATCAGTTTTTGAAATATTAATTTTGTGTCCGATCTATGCAGAGGGAGCTAATTATATGTTGTCCTTGTCTTGCAGAAGTGGTTCGTTTGGGCACCAACGCCAACCACGCACCAACTTATTCTTGTCTTGATGACACCGCAAGAAGATGACGTAATTTTTTGAATATGAAAACCTAATTATATTTCTAAATCCAATCAATGCAAAACTCATTGATACCATTTTTCCGGTGGCAAGTCCCATTAATATAGCAGAATCCATGATGAGGTCAATTTAGACTCGATAAAAATGGTTGGAGTAAATGTGAATTCCACAGTTTAATCTTTATATCATTGCCTTAACTTAACGCTATGTGAGTTAGACAAAAACATAGAAGTTCTACGAAGTTATTTCAAAACAAAACAGACCCATTAAACACATATTTCAAAACAATCTTAAATTATATACATTTATATTTTATTGATGAAAAACAAATATCTAATAAAATTTGCGGACTGCAGTCGGATATTTTATGGATGCAACCTATAAAATATAGATTTTAAATTAAACATAGTATTTTTAATTTTTCATTTGTATTAGAGTCCTCCGTTTCCGCTGTAGCTAGCCGTCGAACTCACGTCCGGTTTCTGAAACACTGATGATCGTAGATGTCAACTAATCACCTGTCAAGTGGATTTTCATATTTCGTTTTAGTTGCCAAAAGGATGGTTAGTTTTCATCCAGATAGATCAATCCAGATAGTTTTATCTGAATTGACAAGAATGATCTTATTAATGATCAGAATTTTTTGATTCAGAATTTTCGTGTCGTATCATAGTTTTTTTTAATACATATATTTATAGTTTATTTATACTTAAATGTGTATTTTCTTATGTGTATATTTTATGATAGAAGAGGAAAGGCAAAGGACATTTAACTGGGTTCTTTTAGGAGAAAATTTCGTTTGAGCACAAACGAACCACTCCTGCAAGACAAGATACAATTAGCTCCCTCTGCATAGATCGGACACAAAATTAATATTTCAAAACCTGACGGTAGCCCGGGTTAACTATGACAATCAGACGTCCAAATCCTCAGTCTGTCCCGTGACCATGAACGATGTACACGGTTCGAAACGTTCACAACGCGTACACAAGGTACACCCGCGTTCCAGGGCGGTTCTCACCGCCCCCAGCCACCGATAAGCTAAAAACACAGTCGACGGCCATCGGGGTCTCGGTCCGCACCGCAACTTCGATGGCCCTTAGATGACATGTCGTAGTTAAACGCACGCATGAGCACATGCGCGGCCCTACCCACAGCGGAGGGCCCAAACCCGTGGGTTCTGGCTAACCGGTTCTGCGTCAGATGAAGCTTTAATAGTCTCGGGACTGAAAGCAAAAACATCAGTTAATACAAGAATACAAGAAGGTTCGAAACGTCGGGAATTAAAATTAAAAATAAACCGCGATAAAACCGTAAGTTTTATTTATACGTTACGAGTTTTTAATTCCTAAAAAAGGGTCCATTCCTAAGTCCAAAATTTTGAAATTTAGATGCCGAATAAAGATGCTGAAGCTGAATAAATTTTTAAAAATTTTAAGTAAAAATTCGGTTTAGGTACGTTTACTTATGACAAAATTTAAGTATATGATATTTTACTTTGTTTCATACGTTCGTTCACCGTTCGAAATATAATTGTCAGATGCAACAAATCGTAAAAATCTTTACGAGAAATTTAAAGAAAACGATAAGACAGAAAGATTTCAAAGATAAAAACTTTTATTATTTTTTAAAAACTTAAATGCTCATTCCCCTTTTAAATCGTCTTTCAAAATTTTACTTGTTTATTTCCCGTTTTCATCGTAAATTTAACGATTATAACTTTTTGTAATTAGAAATTAATTCATTATGAAAGAGAGGATTCTTCGAAAATGATTCAATAGACCACTTTAGATTCAACATTTATGGACGATCTTTTATAGCTTAATTTTAATGATTTTCTAAAAATCCTTTCATTAGTGTTTTACATGAATAATGAACTCATGTTTAACTCCAAAAATTTATAGGTAAAGATTAAGTACAGCAATACCAAGGAGAAGCTTTGTTCTAGTCAAGTTTTAAATAATTGATAATCTAAGTACAATATTGTTAATATTGTACTTATATGACCCCGTGGCGCAGTTGCCAGGGTATTGGCTTCGATGTCGGTGGTCGTGGATTCGATTCCCATAGGGGACAACTATGTGCGACTCACAGACTGTGGTTTCGCATCTGGGTGTTTATGTAAAATTTATGTTTGTAACACATGCTTACAACACAGGATAATGTTATCCGGAAGTGAGGGCAATGTATATGACTAAAATATAGATAAATGATACTGTGGTACCGAATTGCGTTGATGGAACAACAATTTTATGTAATCTGCCAGGCTCGTCTCCGAATGGACAGGCGTACGTCATCACTCACGCGCAGGAGACGAGTAAACCAACTACTGAGGCAGCTGGGACTTTATGGCTCTAGATACACACGCATCGGGGGGCTGGAGGGGCGTAACACTCTGTCTGGTGGGGAAAGAAAAAGACTGGCATTTGCCACTGAGGTAAGAAGTTGTTTTTTTTTTATATTTAAAGCAAAAGTAAACTATCAGCCTATACATGTCCCACTGTTCATATGTATCATATACATAGGGAGCCACTGCGGACTGGCGGACTTGATATATTTTTTTTATTATTATTTCGAAAATATACAAGCTTCGTGATCACGATGTTTTCCTTCACCGCTGAGCACGTGATAATTCAGCACTTAAAATTAACAATTTCATTGATGCTGGCACCGGGGATCGAACTCAGGTCGAGTATAATTGAATTAAAGCCGAGCGCCCGGACACTGATCTATCACGGCTCTTTATTTTAAGGGTTTTTTTGATTAGCGAATACATAAAATCGGCTCTTAGTGTTTAATTTATTTACTTAAATAATAATAATTAGCATATAATTATCTAACCATGGCTGATCTTGTTTTCATAGTCCAAAAGAATATTCAAATGTTTAAAACCTGTACCTATACAGTTCTCATAGCACCTATATTTTTTTACTCGCTAACTTCCGTTCAGCTGGTAGAAAATGCCATATGGCATTAAGCGCGCCTTTTCTATTAGTTTGTACTATAAAGTGTATAATTAAAAATAAAATTCTTCTGATTCTTCTAAAAGTTTCATTTCGTACAGTAAGATGTTCGTCTAGTGGTTTTTAAACATAACTAAAAGAATTGCTTTTGAATCGATATTTTCTATTTAGTTGTTGACAGACCCAGGACTATTGTTCTGCGATGAGCCAACGACAGGACTTGACTCATCATCGGCTCAGAAACTAATGTCCCTTCTCCGAGCCAGTGCGGTTCAGGGCAAGACGGTCATATGTACCATACACCAGCCGTCTTCCGAGTTAATGGCCCTGTTTGATAAATTGGTGCTCCTCGCCGAGGGCAGAGTGGCATTTGCGGGGAACGCATCAGGTGCCCTCAGCTTTTTTGAAAGGTAAGTGTGTGAATGGCTGGAATGGATGTTCTACTTTACAGACGGTTTTCACGTGATTAATTCACTAGAACGAAAACATTTGTAACCAGGTGACATTTAAAAAAAATATTGCCTTACTTTAGAATAACTTTATCCTGTGTTAATTTACGTTTTACAAACATAAATTTCAGGTGGACAAATGCCCAAATCTGAAACAACTATCTGTGGGAATCGAACCCATAACCCCCCACGCCGGAACCAATACCTTGGCAACTGCGCCACGGAGTCCTCGAAATTAGTACAAAGATTACTGGTGTATATGACCAGTTATTTCTAATATTAACAACTGCAAAGGAATCGAGCAAACACTCTTCTTTACTTAACTTTTAAGTAAAAAAAAGTCTGGCTCTTGTTGATTACAATGTGTTTATAACAATATCCCGGATGTTTAAAACAATATAAATTTATTAATTGCCATTTTTGTGACATTTAAAATTGGTATTTATTGTTTCTTTAATTAAACCAGAAAGAAGACCAAAATCGCACAGATTTAAAAAAAATCCTGAGTTCTTCTCCTTTTTCTTCCATTTGAAGTCTTCTTTCGTTGTCTTGTTAACCTTGTTTGGTCCAAATGGCTGATTTTGGGACATTTGTGTCTAGACGCATAGTTTGTCGATACTGGTAAATTGGATGATATCCAACGATGTGGGTTAAACGGTGACCCTAATACGACATCCTGACTATTCTGGTAGAGTCAAATCGTATGTAGATATTTACAGCTGGCCTTTAAATGTCATAGAACAACTCTTATCTACTAATGGCAATTGTAAATGTGTTTCGGCGATGAACCGGCAAAATATGTCTATGCCAATGCCAAAAAAGTTACGTGTGAGATTATTGTATCCATTATTATTCTCTGTTGCATTGCTGAAAGGCAATAAAATAATTAAAACTTTCGTGAGACATTATTAATGTAATATTATGACGGCTGAATTCACGAATGAGTGAGTTCAGCCGTCTTAATATTACACTATTGAAAGGCATCTGGAAGTTTTATCCTTAATAGTAATAATCAAGTTCTAAATGTTCAGCGATAATCGGTTGTGATCAGTGGAGAGAAAAAAGTCAATTCAACTGATGTTATTAACACATACGTCTACAACAACAACAAGAGGTATGGAGATGTATTGCCAACCTTTAAAAACAGTGGTCTCCGGTTACAAAAATAAAGAAAAGCTTTGACGTCACTGTTTTATCAAATAATGTGAGAACAATACATATAGTATATATTGTGACATATTTAATCATTTCTAAGCAATCGTCGCTAACTATATTATTGCACTTTTGTTAAGTTTATTTTATGCAAGCATTTTGGGTCATTTCACCTCACTGTTACTTTGGTCTTGGGTTGTAGGGTCAGGCAATTCAAGGCTCTCTTAATGTCTCTTGCAATAATGCCTCTCTTTGATTCTGGTGGAAATAGAGCTTTTCGTACGACACGATTTTCGCTGCGTCTTTTATTCTTGATCGTTAATGCTTATAAATTATTATAGTTCCAGAGCATTTACACTGTATAGCTACTAGTCCGACATCTATTTTATTTTCTTATTAATAACCACTAGGGCTGTCACAGATTTATTTTTTGCGCAAAGCCAAATTTACATTTGATTAATAAAGTCATTTACCTTATAATTCATGATATATTAGCATACGCGGACGAATTCGTAATTCATTTACACAAGCTGCTAAACGCCATTTGAAGTGTTATTGGTGGCAATAAATACAATTGTTGTTGAACAACAGTTGTAACATAAAAAAATGTGTTTTGTGCCCGTTTTTTCTCGTAAAACATTTAACTGTTTGGAACAAATTACCGACATCTGTCTTTCTATGCGAATATGATGTGAAATATAACTTAATATATGTAGATTTCTTCAAAGAAATAGTGAATAGACTTTTACTGCGCTAATGTGTTTACCATCTACGGTTGCACTACGCAGTCTTGTTTTAAAATGACAACAGGAAAGAATTTTTAAATCAATTTAAACAGCTGTATAACTTAAAAGCCAGTTGCCTTTTATAGTAAACAAATAAATGTATGTGTATATGAAACATGAAAATGGCATTTACACGAATACCTATCACGACATTAAAATCGCTAACCAAATAGTCTTAAAATCATATTATCTATTATAGATTTTAATTAGTTATTATATCTAGTTTATAATCTTAAAGTTTCTAAACTAATTTACCCTTCTTCCCAAGGCCCCAAACTTGTTTGGAAATGCTAATGTAACGTAATGTATGTAAAAATGTTCCTATAAGACCAAACTAGTTAATAGTAAATGTTATCCAACGCTCATTTAGATTCAATTTATTTGCATGGCGTTCTATTCGTAAGATAATCGTAATTGAAAAGCGTATGTGTGCGTGTAATAACAAACAGCCTGCGTCACAATTTACCAATGGTAGTTAAAGGTTTTATGAATCTGTTATAGAGTTGATCTGTCATAGTTAGAGTTATATAAATTCCTTTTATTTTTTATTCTTTTTTTTTTTTACTTTAACTTATTTTTTTTTCCTATTGTAATTACTCTTAGGTTAATTAATTTATTTGCTTATTTTATTTTTATTTTTTTTAGTTTGTTATTTTGTAATTATAAACATTGTAACCAAACGTAATATGTGTGCAGATGAAGTGTCGGATTAAATATCTTAATGTCTTAATAGCATAATAGTACTAACTACCTGTTAAAGATAATAACTCAATGCATGTTACGAGAAGGGGTGAATGTCATTTGACAATAAGAGTGACGAGTATTAATGTGGTTAGAGAGTGTAGCTAGAGGGAGACCGAGAAAGACTTGGGTAGACTGAGTGAAGGATGATATTTCTATGAAAGGGGTGAGTATTGAGATGATGGCTAATGGAAGAAAGTGGAGGCAAAGGACATTTTGTGCTGACCTCACCTAGTGTGTGGGTGAGGGCAGGAGAAAGAAGACAAGGAAAGAAGTGTTGTTATGCATCACATTCGTATTTTGAATTGTAGTCGTTAATGTATTTAGTGTTGGCTGCAACTTTAAATTAAAGTTTTAGGCTCTATACGTCGATTGGTCGTCAAAATTAAATATTTCGTCACTTTTTTGTTTGCATTCGTTGCTGACATTTAACGGAAGTTTTGTTTTAAAATTTTTAAGAATTTCTTATAACGTTAACATGTAAATTATTTTAACCTTTAGTAATCAAGATGTTTTTATGAATTAGAGGTTGTGGGAATGGAGTAGAAGGCGGTGTTCTAATTGTCACTTTATTTCGACACTTACATAGGAGCAATGGACCTCTTATTGTCGCTCAAATCCTCCAATTACAGTTCTTGCCCATTTTCTATCTAATCACTTTCTTCTTCTTTGACGCGTTTCGTGATCATATTCATCATATACATGGGGCTTTATTTTATGAAGAATGATCTGAGAAAAGGATATTTACGGTTCTAAGGATTAATTTTGTATTTTAAATACTGCAACTGACGCATCATCATCATCATCATCACCATTTCAGCCTGTTTGAGTCCACTGCTGAACATAGGCCTCCCCCATAGACTGCCACGAAGTACGATCCTGAGCCACTTGCATCCATCGACTTCCCGCACATTTGCACAGGTCGTCACTCCATCTAGTGGGGGGTCGTCCCACACTGCGATGGCCAGTACGAGGGTGCCACTCGAAAACCTTTCCTCCCTAACGGTTATCCGTTCTACGAGCTATATGGCCGGCCCAACGCCACTTCAGCTTGTTAATCCTCTGAGTTATGTCGGCTACCTTGGTTCCACTGACGCGTAAATTACTAGAAATCATCATATACATAAATTACTAAAATAAAGAAATTAGGATTCTTAAAACGATCGTCCCAAACAGCGGGAGATTGGTAGCGTAGCTGCGGGAGGAGGAATAAACTTAAGAGCAGTTATTGGTTTTATGACCCCACATCTTTTATACACTTGATAAACTTATAATTGTCTTTTGCACTCGACGACAGTGCCGAAATTGCGATGAAGATTTTTTTTTAATTTTAGGACACATTTTTACACAACGTTCTCTAGTCCAAAAGCAACGCTTATACTATGGGTGGGTACTAGATAACTGATATACTTGAACATACTTTTCTTTTGTATATAAATACATATTATACATATACATATAAACATACCCAGACACTACAAAAATACTATTGTTCATCACACAATATTTTTCCTGTAGTGGGAACGAACGACCCCACACGCTCCGGCGCAGGGGGACACTACCCACTACGCCATTCAGGTCGTCAACCTTCCACCTTAACCGGTCAACGTGCCTCAATTTTTTGTTCGTTTCCAGCCTAGGATACCACTGTCCCATTACGTACAACCCGACGGACTTCTTCATCAAGGTCCTGGCCCTCACTCCCGGCTCGGAGGGCGCCTCTAGGCAGGCAATCAAGAGCGTTTGTGATAGGTTCGCGGTCAGCGACGCAGCCAAGGAGCTTGACATGGAAATACATCTCGAGTTCCACCTAATGGACCACGAGGCCGTGGTAAGTAGTCGATTTGAATATACACACTCAAAGCGTTGATTGATTAATAAGCGTCCGTTTGAAACGTTAACCGGTCACAGAAAATTTTTTGTATGATATTGGGATTGATTTGTCTTTGATAACAAGGCCGGTGTTTGCTGTCTCACCAATACATATATCTGTAGGTTGTTATTTTACATATGTCCCACATATGTCCACAGGTGTTTTTATACAGAGCATGTTTGCCGAAGCAATGGTCATTGGAGCTCTACTATAACCGGTAGTGTTCATAATATATTTTTATACAATTTATGGTTGGTATTAATGAACGGTTTTCTCGTTCATGGTGATCAAAGTTACTCTTAACTATGTCACGCATTATTACAATACTTATGCATCGTATTTGATTATGGAAAAAAAGTAGGCTTGGTTCTAAAGATATAAAAGCTCGAGTGAACGTATGGACAAACAGTTTCTTTTTAAAAATTATTTTGATTAATTATTGCGAAAGAACCTATCAGGGCGAACGGGTACCTACTTAATACCAACGCATCGTAACAGGTTTAATGCCGGCGTATGGCTATAGTTTATATTCTATTAATAATCCCTTGACACTTCAGGGCTGAGATAAGTAAAGGAATATCTTACGCTGCAGCATCCTCGTGCGAGCAATATTAACTGTGCTGCAACGTAAACTTGTAAAAAATATTAATCTTATTTGCGTGATAAAACTGAATAACTTGTATTTTTAGCCGACTGTAACGTATTTTGAAATGAAACTGAAAATTTGGATTATGAATCAAGGCATCTCATTAACTTAAAATCTATAATATGGTCACATGAGTAAGTGTGTCCGTAGGAATTGCATGTCTTCTATTTACTAGGCCGTCTAAATTTCTTTGATTATCAGTGTTTCAAAAACCGGGCGTCTTTCAACAATACGTCATTAGATAATTATATTCTCAATTATTGAACATTTGAAGTAAGAGTTTACTAATCACTATCTGACTATTATCATTAATTGTAAATGAAATTATTTTTAAGGATTTGTCTAGTTCTTTTACTTTATTTTAGATGTTTCGAACCATTTTCAGCGTTGGACATCTCAATGTCATAGTTAACGCAGGCTACCGTGAGCTTTTAAATTTGTAATAGATTTAAAAAGTGACGGCATTTTTTTTAATTTATTAAATACAAGATTTAATTGCATTAAATACAATTATCAACTATTAATTGATTGAGCTTTTGATTTGTAAAATTTTGCGACTTACCCCTTCCATTCTATTTCGCTTCTAATGTCATTAGGTTATTCAACAGTCTCGCATCCTTAATGCCGCCGAATGGTTTAAATGTGGGCGTACTTTAAAAGTGAGCCATCGCATATAAATATCGAATTAACGTCGTCTAGAAACGATAAAAAAAAGACACAATCAGTTAACACAAGTTACGTCCGTGTTGATTTTATTCTATCTCAACACACGCATGCACATTTTGTTATAGATTATTCTTTGTAACCAATACCACTTTTTAACTGTTTCAATAAATATTTTGTACGTGAAAGAGCGAAGCTTCCTAGCACATACATTTCATACTTAAAAAGACTCTGACCTTAAATTAAACGCCGTTGAAACATAAAAACGCCTTTTATACGGCGACTTTGAATCCATTAAGCTGGTGTGTTGTTCGCGGTGTGATCTTAACATGTAATAAATCATTCTTCGTTACCGCCAATAAAGCGAGACAAAAAACTTGTCGCTCCTTAATGTTTTCATTATATTACTTAAAATGATTTAGGAGATTTCAATGTTAATATTTGTGTATTTCATTATTTTAGTAATAGAAATCAATTTAAAATATATTTATCATGTTTATTTTAAGTGTTGTCTTATATACGCCTAATGTTAATATTTTAATTTGACAATTTCAATAATCTTTTCACATCAACATGAAAGGTCGTTTTGGAAATATTCTTCGGTGCAAATGTTACTAAGAAATTTTTTTATTTTATTATAATGTTTTATGCACTCATTTCATAGTTTAAAGAACGTCAAAAAATTTCTAGTTAAATGGTTAATGCGTTAAAATCTACCCAATATTATATAAGTGAAAAAAAAAATTGACGGAGGCTAAAATGGGACGATCAATTTGTACTGGATTCAATCAGCTTTCTTAAATAATACTCACATTACATACGATAAATTATCCTTTAAGGATGGTTACGTAAAATTCATTACTCACAAAGATTTGATTTATGGTGATTCATCATCATCATTATTATTTCAGCCTGTTTGAGTCCACTGCTGAACATAGGCCTCCCCCACAGGTGCTGCCACGAAGCACGATCCCCAGCCACCTGCATCGATCGACTTCCCGCACATGGTGATTGATGGTTGTAAATCTAAATGTTTTGCAATTTTCGTTTAGTAACGACCAATTGTTCTAAATTAGAATTGGGATCGAAATTTAGGAAGCAAAGGGCATAGTGCGTGGTCTGTCCATTCTGTCTCGTTCGCTTTGGTAATAGCAAATGTTACCTTTTGTCCTTATTTGTAGATTCTTAAATGGAATTGTTTGTATATTTATTTTAATTATCATTAACTAAATCTTTATTTCCAGGAATCGAGGAGGAAGAAGGAGGATAGTTTCAAATCACCATTCTTTTTCACGAAGATTATGTGGCTTGTCTATCGCTACTTGCTTGTTATATTAAGGGATCCACGGGTACAGTTACTACGCATCGGTCAGAAATTGGTAAGAATTTTATTTATTTACTACCAGACCCAACAAAAGTTGCCCTGTTCACACGTCTTAAATACAAGAATGTCTCTTTGAATGTCTCTGTCGATGTCTCGAAAAAAAGAGTTCTCTCTTCAAATGCCATTTTGAGACATCGTGCACTTATATGTGAATAAAAATTACCAGATAAATGCCTTCATCGCTTTTAATAACATTCTCGCGTTCACGTGGCGTGGCGCATTTTCAAAATATCTTTTTTAAAAGGTTTTATCTTAAAAGTTTTAATATTCAAATAAACACGATTATGTATTAGTGTGAAAAAATAATTTAGTAGAGTATCTTTTTGTCGGATTAAAGCCTTGGTTTATTAACCAAAGCTTTAATCGGACAAACACCACCTTACACTGGTGTGTAGAATGATTGCGGGATACCCATACCCACGCGTCGAACGGGATTCTTTAGTTATACATGTCTATACGTTGAGACTGACTGTCTTCTGTTAAATCTCACGCTTGAAATTCTTACCACTACGCCGCTAGAACCAGTTTAATTTGCGTACCAACCTGTTGACCATTTGTCCGAGATCCCACAGCAACGTGAATTAATTGAGCAGATAAAAGTCACGAAAGTCGGATCTAAAGGTAAAAAGTAGCATGAAAGTACACATCATTAGTACTTAGAGCTAACGCTGGCTTTTTATTCTATTGAAAACGAATAAGAGCTATGATTAAACATAATAATGTAGGTATGATGCCATTGATCCATTGTATCGAATCAAATCATTCATTTAAAGGAGTAAGAAATATACATTTTATCTATCGATAGTCATTTTTTAGATCTACTACCGTTTCGTAATGAGGTTTCTCTAATGGAGAAGAAACCGGCGAAACAAGCTCCTTAGAAATCGCACAAATGCATTGTATACGCCTCTGAAATTTCTTAACGTTCAAGGTACTTTTTTTTAATAATCAAACTTTCGAAACTAAGGGAGAAAATGTCCAGTAACGATAAAAAATACATTTCCGTACGTTACGTACCTATCGTAAAAAATACATTACGTACCTACAACATATCGAATAGTAACTGTTTTTTGACAATCTTCTTAAAAATAAAAACTCGTATGTTTGTGGTTTATGCAATGCCTACCATCAAATTTTGATTAGGCTCTGGTGAAATGTAATATAATTTGACTCAAAAGAATCAAGAACAGTTATCTTTTAAATATAGTTCAATATCAATTAGTCAATGCGCAATAGCCATGATTCCGAAATCTTTTTTAAATTTAAAACGATTTTATTAGGTCGATATGACACAAGTTCCTTATTGGCGTACAACTTGGTCGAACAGTTAAAAAATATAAGTACTGCGTTGCAAATTGTAAATAGAGTTGTACAAAACGTCATGTATTCATGTTTTTATTTCATTCATCCCGTTACTTTGACAACAGTCGTGGAAAATTCTTAAATATTTTATTTATAGTCACCGTTATCGAGTACCACTGATATTAATGGAAGATCGCCCTATAAACGGCCTTACTACTTTTGTTTTTATTTTTAATAAATCTTTGCCATTGGGTTCAATAAATTTGATCCAATGTGACAGTAAATGGTTTAATCGGTTTATTAACTCAAGTTTAAAATTTCCGTATTAAAGCTTTAATTGCAAAACAAATTTTGAATTATACTTGATAAGTGTTATTATTAGCAATTAATGCAACACTTGACCTTGTTATTGCGTATCACCATAACCATCTTAATATCTAGTGCGGTCACCAAAAATAAACGACTATTCCACGAAGAGAATGACCACGCTTATTTAGGAACGTTTGTAAATCGATAACATTTTAGTAATTGCAGTTTTAATGAAAGAAATTTGGTCTATTATTGCTTCTATAAAAAGTAAGCGTGAACATTGATATATTTTAGGGTTCCGTACCAAAAAGGTAAAACGGGACCCTATTACTAAGACTCCGCTGTCTGTCCGTCTATCACCAGGCTGTATGTATCTCGTGAACCATGATAGTTAGACATTTGATTTGAAATTTTCACATTTGATGTATTTCTATCGCCACTATAACAACAAATACTAAAAAACAGTAAAATAAATAAAAATTAAGGGGGCTCCCATACAACAGACATGTTTTTTTTTTGCCATTTTTATAAATAATGGTACGATAAGGGCTCCCCTTCGTGCGCGAGTCCGACACGCACTTGTCCGGTTTGCAACATCCCACGCCACCTACGACAGTATAATAATCAATAATCAATCAATCAATCAATATCAGCCTATTGCCGTCCACTGCTGAACGTAAGCCTCCCCCAAAGTGCGCCAACTATCCCGGTCCTGGGCAGCCCGCATCCATCCGCTGCCCGCCACCTTTCTTAAGTCGTCAGTCCATCGTGCTGCAGTAGTACAATAATATCACCGTATAATACGTTCTGATACTAATACTAATTATACCACAGTATATACCCACGTCCCCTACCAGTATAATACATACACAGTATAATAATACTCAAATATAACATTTACCGTACGCATGCAAAATTAAGACAATATAAAGGGAGTTAATTTACTTAATCCCTGATCATCAGGCTATAGCCCTTACTGCGGGGCTGTGCTTCATAGGCACGGCGCGACTGACGCAGGCGGGCATCCAGGACGTGCAGGGCGCCCTGTTCATCATCATCGCCGAGAACACCTTCAGCCCCATGTACTCAGTGCTCTACATGTTCCCCGAGGAGTTTCCGATGCTCACCAGGGAGCTGAAGGCCGGCCTGTACTCCACCCCCATCTACTACTTGGCGAGGATGATTGCGCTGGTGATGATTTGACTATTTCTAACGTTTGTTCATCGGCGAAGATTTATCACCCAAATCGATTATTTTAACGTCTTAAGAATTCGTACCAAATTTAATTCTAGTGAATTTTAACTAGCACTCGAACCGGTAATCTCAGTACGCAGTACGCGCGTTGAGTTTACCGGTTTATGTTCACGAATCTTTTATATATTTGACGTTTGTTTTTTTTTTTGTTTTTTTACTTTTGTGAACCTCGCGATTTTTATTTCTTAAGGTTGCGAATGTACATATGAGTAGGTACATTATTTTTGATTAAAGCGCAAATGATTTTTACACCGAAATGATTTATTTATATTTATTATATCATAACTATTATAGTATAGAAACATGAATCCAAAACTTAAAAATTTTGCAATAGGACTCCTAGCGAGTTCTATTGCAAAATTTTTAAGTTTTTAATTTCTTGATAATATGAAAAATATTTATTAAAAACTGCTTGGTGAACATAATACTACGTGAACTCGATTAAGTTTCGTCAGTTTATAAAATTACCATAGCTAACAAATAATAATGTTTTATTTAAGCTCATAATAACTTATTCCAAAGAGATACACCAAACAGAAATCGGCTGTAGCTCATGGTATTTGAGTTCGTTTTCCAACCTTATTTTTTTCTTATTCGTGAATCGAATCCAAAGGATTAGTATCTAAGCCATTGAGTTATTATTTTGTATGAATTAAACAATTATTGTGTCACTATTGTGTACTCTCTACTCTTTTATAAGATATTTCTCGTTCCTTTACTTTTTTGGATACATTAAATCTGTTGTTTAGTAACTAGTATTTAAATTTTTAAAGTTTTTTATAGTGCTAATCTTTGCACTTAAGATTGAACATTAAAACATGTAGAAAAAGTACGAAAAGATTGTCGCCGCTGTGGGAACCGAACCCACGTCTTCGGCATTCGCGGCCTGATGCTCTAGTCATTGAGCTAAACGGCTGATAGGCACAGCGACGAAAAAACTATTATTTATTTTGAATTGCGGATCTTTTGCCCATTTTTTGCTTTTAGTTTCGACAGTCAAGTCCTAAATAAAATTCGCGTTTTCCAATATGCTTTTTTTTATTTTTTCTGTAATGTTCCGATCACTTTCCAGTTCCCCGGTCTGGTGATAGAGCCTACGCTGTTTACACTGGTGGTGTACTACATAGCCGGTCTCCGTGCCACCTTCTTCGCTTTCAGCTTCACCGTATTGCTGTCCATCATCGTGCTCAACGTCGCCATCGCCTGTGGTCAGTCGATGTTATAGTTTGATAACATTAAGTTACTCTTTACATTTAAATATAATTATTTGATTTTCAACAAGAACGTGATAGCTCATTGTCCGGCAGCTTGCTTTTAATTAAATACCCGAGCAACCTGAGTTCAATCCCTTGTGTCGACAGCAATGAAATTGTTGATTATAAAACATCGTGAGGAAATCTGCATATTTTCTAAATAATAACAATAGAAAAATATTTCGAAGATGTGTGAAGTCCGCCAATCCGCAGCGGGGCCGCGTGGTGGACTATGCCCTAATACCTACTGTACAGAGGAGGCCTTTGCCCGGCAGTGGGTCATATATAGGCCGTTATTTTTAAACGGTTTTATTTAGCTCGACCCGTACGGAATTTGTTTGTATATTTGGGTCAAATTAGAAATTGAAATTTAAGCACCTTCCCGTTGTCAGATTGATCTGAAATTTGGTACACACATTTAATTTAGATGACAATACAATATAGTAGTTTTCAGTGCACATAAAATAAAACCGTTTAACTTTAAAGTTTTTAAACGGTTTTATTTTTACTTTACTAATTACGAACTATATGAATGAGAATCTGTATGCAATTATTTAAGCTATCACAATGCATTAATCAATTTTACCCATGGTTCTGTGCAATAAAATATACTGTTTTTTGAGAGATAGATTATAATTTTAACGAATATAAGCCTACTTGTTTTCGCAGTGTTCAAGGCCCTACGCTACAAATTTCATAAACATTCGTTTAGCTGTTACGGAGTGAAGAAAAAACAGATACAGAAACATTGCATTTGAATAATGCGTGTTACTCGTTAAAGAAGGTGGTTGAGAATAAGAGGCATGTAGCCGCTAATATGAAAGTAAATTTCTTTAAAAAGTATAAAAAAAATATTGTTATTTTTTTAAGGTTCATTCTTCTCGTGCGCGTTTGGCTCAATGCCAATCGCCATCGCCTACCTAGTACCCTTTGACTACTCCTTGATGTTGACGTCGGGACTGTTCGTCAAACTGAGGTAATAGGTGCTTTTAAATTTTTTTTTACCATATATACTGCCAGTACTTTCTAACCGAATAAAAAGGCTCAAGAATTTTACTATTGCTGTAACGCTGTGACTAAGAGTTTTTCAGTCAAGTACTTATACACAGAAATTTTAATCTACCGTAACGTTAATATAGGCCACTTAAAAGATTCAAATTTAGGTTATCTACATAACTTTTAACGTTGATACGAAGCATTTAATTAGCGTGCTTGATATATATAGTGTATTTTTGCTATTTTCCCATATACAAAATAAGCGGATGGCGTTCCCACGCTACTCGTAGTTTTCGTCGTAAATAGTTCGTCATGCCTACTTTTTGATAAAATAGCAATGAATAGAGATTCGAAATTTAAGATTTATTAGATATTACACTGCAGTCTGCAGGTTGTTTTCAAGCAAAAACCTGTATTTTATTTTTGTGGATGAATGTGGTATAAACAATGACATCAAAGGACATCGATGCACTGGTACAAACAATACTAAGGATAACAGTACAGTTGTCAAACTTTAAAAGAATAGTTCAAAGTGGTAAGAGACTTAACTCAAAGAAACGCATAAGCACGAATACTTTAAACCACCAGTCGTCTGCAAGGACACGGTTTATTTCCCGTGCGAGTCTTACCGCAATAGCAGAAACCTCTGCTTAACTCCACCACACTAAATTTAATATAATCTTATACAGCATCTAGGAAGAGAAAACTGAAGGAAAAGTACCGATCTGCCTAAAATGAATACGTGTAGCGTCTAGGAATAGAAAACTAAAGAATTAAGTAGTACCGATCTCAAGTTCTCTTGTTGTATTTAATGAGGTACTAAAATAATATTTATATACGTGTTTCTTTTCGTTTAGATCGATACCGAAATACATATCCTGGATCCGGTATTTGTCCTGGGTGATGTATTCTAACGAAGCGATGAGCATCCTTCAATGGGACGGCGTTCAAAACATAAGTAAGTTGACTGACACGGGCATACAATGACAATATGCGAATGGGTTAATCCCAGTCAGCCTCTCCGAACATCTGTGGCGAACGTCTTTGTTTTATACTATGTAGAGATTTATATCTACATGTTTATTTTTATTAATAGACTCAACCAGGCGAGATAACAAATAAATATGCCACCAATGATAATATGAATAATGATAATTCATATCCATATGTTCTTTTTGTTGTTTATAAACCCAACCAGACGAGAAAACAAATAAATATCCCCAAAATGGTAACTTGAAATATACCTGATGACATTCTCACATTATCATTGTAGGCAGGATGAGCTGGAAAAATATTTTTTCTAACTATGACGTTAAAATGATAACGACACTAATGGATTTGCTATGGTCAGCGTGTCTTTGAATTTTATCATTTATCGTTCATTTCGAATTCATACCGAATTATTTTCGTTCAATGATTATTATTAATTGTATCTAAGGAAATAAATGTTAATCACTGGAATATTTTTACGATTTTATCAACTGTAATTTAAATTCTCGGTTTTTCGCGATAAAGTCCTTATAATTAAATGTGCAATGTGCGTGTTTGGGCAATTATAAAAGATCATTAATTAAATACTAATTTTAGAAACGTTTCTTTAATACCAGTTCTCGGAGCTTCATATTTTAAAAATAAAATTATTATGTATTTAATATCACTTAACGCTTGGATCATAAATCTCAATACGGTAGAAAAATTAATAATTTTTAAGTATTCATCAACTTGTAATAAAACGTTATAATTTTATTATAAACTCGAAGACGTTAAATTAGAAGACATTGTAGTAAAACGTAAGTATACATGCGGATATTCAAATATAAATTATACCAGTATCTCAAATAAATTAAAAATATAAATAAATTGAATCGAATTAAATTACATTTGAAGAATATAATTATGTTAAATATTGTAAATTCATATTTAATTTATATATATTTTTTCTTTGAAAACATTCCCTCTAATTGTAAGATAACGTTTTACAAACATAAATTTCACGTGGACAAACACCCAGATGCAAAACAACCAGTCACACAAGTAGTTGTCCTGTGTGGGGATCGAACCCACGCCTCCCGACGCCGAAGCCAATACCCTGGCAACTTCGCCACGGAGTCGTCATTGCTTTCTTTTTTTATTTATTTATTTATAAATTTATTGTACACAAAACACAAGATACAAAAAAAAAAACAAAAGGTAAGCTTAACTCGATGCATGAGTTCTCCGCCAGCTAACCTGGTGAGAAAATAGGCGATCGAAGGTAGCTGGAAATGTTTTCTTTCTTCTTCTATATCAGCTTGCATGGCGTCCGACAATATGGCCGGCGCACCGTGCCTGAGCACCGGCGCCGAGGTCTTGGGCCTGTACGACTTCCGCATCAACCAGTTCTGGGAGGACGTGGCTGCTCTGGTGGGCCTCTGTCTGGCCTTCCACTTGCTGGCCCTGGTCGCGCTGCGGTATCGCACCAGGAGGAAGTAGCTGACGGGCTACATAGTTGACGCGCAGTGGCGGGTCCCAAGGCCTAATAGGCCCGGGCCTAGGGCGGCCACATATTAGGGGCGGCCAATCGTGACACAAAACTCACTGATGATAACAACACATATGATGGGCGCTGAGAATCGGGTGGGCTGGGGCCTAGGGCGCCCGAGATTACAAATCCATGGTCTATCGTGTCATGGTCCGATCATGGTCCGATCGTGTGACGTGCCGCCACTTTATAGTTAGGCCTAATGTAATAAAGAATATATGTAGTAATAAACGTGTGTGTATTAAGTTTTGCTGTTTTAATTTGTTGTTCCGTTTCGGTAGTCTTTTAAATTCCTAAGGTGCGGGCTATTGTTTTTTGGGAGGGAAAACTTCGAAGACATGACAAGTAACGTTATAGAAACTTGTTATATACCAAAGCAGTGTGGATTTGGTATATTTATGAGCAAGGGCAAGAATTTATGGATAATATTTTTATATGTTAGAAGTTGGAAAACGAGCTGACGGTTCATCCGATGTTAAGTGATAACCGCCGCCGATTAAAATTCGCAACACCCGTAGGGTTGCAGTTGCGTTGTCACCTTTTAATAAAGTGGGCCCTGGCTACCTGGCCAGACGAAACAGAAGTATTTATTTATTTATTTTCATGGCCCTACCACATTTAAAGAAATAATTTGCGTCGCCCTACCACAGTTAAAAAAGAACTTCGGATATACATGCTACACAACCTATTCGTGAAGGAGCTTGGTTCTTGGTCACGGAGATCACTGTCAGATCTTCGCTGATGATTGGAATTTGATTTTCACTTTGGATAAAGCTTCTACATCCGATTCCTTTGCTTCTATGTACAGAGCTGGGAAGAAAAAAAAATAAACTAAAATCTGCTCGGCCAAAGACTAAAGAATGATAATAACAGAAAAATTTCAATATGAGTCATCAGACCTGTGCATGGGAGGGGAAAGTGTGCAAATGTCCTGCGATCCTTAGGCTTCCATTAGTCAACAAGTTAATATTTAAAATCCACGTCAGCACTGTTTGTTATCACGGTCCAAAATCTCTATAGGGTGTCCTAGGTCAACGGTGCAAAAATTCATGGGCTAAAAAAGTCTAAATACAGGCGTAATATAAGAAATTAATATATACATAATTAAACTTATTTTAAAAAGCTATAATTATCAATAAATAATATATTATTTACCTACTAGTTATTCCATACGATTTCATCAGCGAGAAATGTTTCTGCTTCCTCAAGAATTGGACTATCAAATTGAAAAGGATTTTTTCAAATCCGACTGGTACTTCCAGAAATTAGCACGTTCAAATAAACAAACTCTTCAGCTTTAATATATTAGTACAGATGTTGTTTATTTATATAGATCGCTAAAATGTAAATTCTTTTTCGAAAGCAATTAAATACTTAAAACACTAGTTTTCACACTGGCCATTATATTAGTTAGAGAGAAAATTTGAACGAGGAAAAAATATATTCTACAGAAAACTTGGTTTATTTATGCAGAATAAGAGAATTAAGAAAAATAAGTGAACCATAATATTATCACTCACCTAATTATTCAATTTATAACATTATTTATACATAAAAAGTGACATCTAGGTTCACTTATATGAAGCTTATAAGCATATTCATTTTCCTGAGTATACAATGTCAGAAATGCACATAACAGAGTTACCAACGAGTTCAAGGTACTAAGTACAGATGGCGCTACAACGTTGATGTCGTTACCTGGGCGACCGGCTTGAGTTCTCAGCGCAAGCGTAGTTCAAATTCATCCGCCATATTCGTCGTGTCAGACGGAGTGCAGTGCACGGCTGTGACATGTTTTATCGTAAACTTCATACAACTTATGACAACAAATACTTTTTGGTGCTTGTTTTGTGTAAAGAACGTTGAAAATATGCGATCCGATGTAGTTTCGAATGGACACTCGTGTCGCTTGTTGAATAATAAACGTGCAACGAACTGTGCATTCGTGTGTTTATGATAACAGCATTAACAGTAATCCATGGTAGCGTTTTGTTTTTATCCCATGCGTTTGTTGATGTGTTATGTACCTTAGTGGTATTATGCAAGATAACATAACCGTGACCTTCGTATTCATGACCGTGCTTGAGATGCTTTTTGAGGTTAAAATGCAGCCAGGATTTTGAGTGACTGCGCCGAGCCATAAGGTTAGTACGTTATTTTATCTGTATTGATAGCCTAAAAAGTTTATCTTGCCCTACATTTGTCCGTCCGTTTTTTTTCATATTTTAATTTCAGAACCCATGCACAAAATTTTATATAATTTTAAAAATAGTTTTATTTGTTCTAAATATTAACATCAAAACGACCCAAGGTTTGTTGCTGTAGGTGTAGTTTAATTCGAACTTAAGGCGAGCTTAACTGATCTGCTACATAAAAATACTGCATTTGAAAGTATGACCGTTGGCAGCTTTGCTTAGCCAACCTTTAACGTCGTGCGCCCCGGCGGCGCGGCGGGAATGCAACCTCACCGCGGGATGTAAAAAGGGAATAAAACACACTTTTAAAGGACGCGCCGTTGCTTATCCAAATACTTTTGGCCCAATCGACATTCCACAGAAATCAACCAATCATCAATACTACTACGATGTAGATGTCAATGTATCGTTTAAGCCAGGTTCCCGCCAAAGTATTTAGTTACAAAATGTCACTTTTATTGTAGCGCGGTTAATGAACCGTTTGTTACGATTGGTTTTGCATTTTAATTTTCTTGTTGGATGTACTTTAAATAAATAGAGTTTACGTAATAACTTTTGTGTTTTGTTTTAAAGTAGTAAAATCAATACAGACATTTCTGGTTTTGTTGCTGGTCATTACCCAATAGCATGCTGAACCAGTGTCATAACGTCCGACGTGGTCTCTCCAGTTTTTTTGATAACAATCGGCCTTAGTTATAAGTCTTTTAAACGGGTTCTATGATTTCAATCTTTTGTTATGATTGTATGACAAAATCTAATAGTAAAAACTCTTAATACTAGAGTTTTTACTCGAAATCCTAAATCAAATTTGCAGCAATCACCGATAAGTTATTTAAAATCCAAAGCTTTTTAGAATCGCAAGTCCGATAGATATAGCTTTTTTTTATTTCGATGCTGATCCTTTAGTTTATTGGTGCAGTATAGAAGAATTTTTTTTACGAAATGAGACTTGAGAATTTTGAATACCAGTAGTAATCTACGTAGGTAGTTCGTGTTTATTATGCACGAAATTTGTATTGTTATAACAGAAGTAGGAAGTTGGATTCTATGTGACCACGAATACTTTACGCACGAATGATTTCAGATATTAGAAATAGGTACTTGGCACGCGAGACAAATATCTGAATCAACGAAGCTACCTACCCACTTCTGTTTTTGCTTATCAGATATGCTCATTGCTTACGAAATTGGATTGTCTGTGTTTGCTAACTTGTTTCTTCTTTTCAACACGGTGTTAGTTTCTACGAAACATCCTTATGAATTTTATTACCGTTGGGTAATTTGATCTAATATCATTTTTGCAACAGTTGTCAAACAAACGATTCTTTTGTCGTTGACTGCATGCATATTCAAGTAGTAATAATAACATTTCAACATACATTACAGAGATATTTCGTGATTTTGTGTTTTTATATGCTGTTTTCGGATTCTAAAAGTGGGTTTTCGTTACGATTTTTTCAAATAGTAAAATGATTTTTCCCGTTTCTTTCTACTTCAGATCTTCTGCGAGTCGATAAGATATTACCGCATCAGATTTAAAATATCATGAAGACGAGATGTCCTAAGACCTCTTTTGCTCCCTTTACATAGAAGGGCAATGACATCGTACGAATAATTTTTATCTAGACCGTATCTAGAAATACAGTACGTACCTAGAAATCTGAACATGTACTCACCGTTAGGTGGACTTCATGTTACTCTACTGATGTCAAACACCTACACGAGTTCCTCGACTCCATTTACTTTATTTATACATCTAAGTAGCGATGTTATGAGTGTCATGTGTTATGGCTTCCTGTCTGTAAGGAGTTAACGATGGCGTAGTGGTTTCGACGTCGGTCTCGTGATATTGAGGTAGTGGGTTCGTACATCGTTCTGCGTCTTTTAGTTTACTTGCCTACCAAACGCTTGTGCATGGACTCCTTTTTTATGTGAGAAAGTGGCAAACGAATTGGCGGTTCAACTGATGTTAAGTGATAACCGCCTGCCCGTGGATGTTTTCAACACCCGTAGGGATGCAGATGCGTTGCCACCTCTTAATAAAGTGGGCCCCGGTTACCTCACTCACCGGACGAAACGCAGAAGTGCAAGACTTCTACTTCACGCCGGTCTTCTGTGAGGTCGGGGTGCTAACTAGTGATGTACCGGATCATTAAAATTGTAGATCCGCACATACGGATCCGGATACGAATCATTGACGTCAAAATCCGCGGATCTTAACTTAATATCCAGGAAAATCTCAATATTACTGTGTATCCAACGTCCTTGATTTTGTGTCTGATTCGAAGGATGAATTAGATTTTCGTTTTTCAGAAATTGAAAAAATTAAAAAAATTGTCTCAAGTAGCCACATCACATCACTCACCAGACGAAACACAAAAATGCAACACTTCTACTTCAAGCCGGTCTTCTGTGTGGTCGTGGTATTAACCAAGACGGACCTGCCCACTCTTGCAACAGCGAACACTTTTGTGTGTGTGGCCCTACCACCGTAAAGTCTATTTATACATTGTTTTCCTTGTTACAGTCAAAGGTCTAATCTCCAGTTTAAATGACATGATTATAATTAAAATAAATACATAAAAAATGAACCACAGCAAAAAGACGTTATTCGTTAAAGCAATTAAGAGCGATAATTTCTACTGCATTTTGAATCTACAATTAAACACGCCGAACAAACTCGGTTTGTTGATAGCGAGTTTGGTCACGCGAAATACAACTTATCAATGTGACTAACTCGACTGCTATTGTTCGAGAATCGGTTGCGTGTCTATCTGAAGGTGTAAAGAAACAATATTGTTCAAATATACTTGCGGAGTTCGTCGTATATTTGAATAAAATCGGTCAATAGAAAACAAAACTTTACTCGTAATTTTTGTAGACTTTTTTTAATATTGCGCGGTGCATCGCGATTTGCAAGTTTATAAAAACAGGTTCGATTCTTAATGTCAAACACTAGTAACTTATCCGATGCATTTTTAATTCCAGTCCAATAGTTGTTGATTATGGTATTGTTTATTATTATCGTGTTATTTAATATTGTATTTGGTTGTAATTATGTGGGTTACATCTTCAAATCTGAACTGTCCTCCTCCATCAACTACCGTTACCGTAGTATATAATTGCAGAAGTCTCTGGGATTACTGGGTTTCTGATATGGACTGGTTATACATATATTGTAATGCACGAATCGAGGGTAAAATAATCCTAGAAGAAATGGCTCGATTATCTTTAGTTTGCGAAATAATTCACAGATAAATGCTGTTTGCATCTGTACATCCCACTCATTCGAGACTGATGGATGAGTCGACATGGCGATTATTGTAGCATTCCCGTAAAAATTCACACGTTTTTGTCTAAGAGTCGTAATACCACAAATTGTTTTCGGATTTTTAACGTGTTTTGCGTCTATTCGTTACGCTTATCTATTGTTTAATTGAAATGTAAGTGCTCGTGTAAATATTGGCCCTCGTTCCAGTTGTTCGTTCTATTTGCTCAATATACCCGTCCAGTGTTGCCATTTGTCACCTTTCGACTCGTCCAAATTAAAAACTTGAACTTGGATCGAAAATTAAAAAGTAGTTTTACTTCTTTGTTTGTTATTCAACCACTGGCTGGTGCTTGAATACCACCTTAAGTTATATATATCTACTAGCGGACCCGACAGACGTTGTCCTGTACACACGACACAAATTTATGACAACGTACGAAATAATTATAAAGTATAAATAAAAAAATTGTAGTGGACCGAATTGTGAATCTAAACCATTCTCGAATCGAACTAGAGACACACAAAAATTTCATTAATCGGTCCCGCCGTTTAGTACTTCAGTGACATACACACGCACAAAACAATTATGTATATATATATATATATAAATATATATTAGATGGTAAACGCACTAGCTCATTTATCATAAACTTTTATTGTTCTCTGTGTTTACTGAATACGCATGCATTAGTGAATATTAGTTGAGTGCGAGCATCTAGCTCATTACGTTAACAAAGTGTGCAGGGTATGTGAACTACTGAAGCGGTTAAAAATAAATTTTTGTATAAATCAGACGCTAGATCTGTTTGTTTACCACCAGCGTGGTAGTTCCGGCGGGATCGCAGTTTGTTAACCTCGTAATGGATTTCGAATTATGCTTTACGAAGCGCGCGTACCTGTGGCTAAATTTAAACGCGTTTCCTTTTATTGTTTTGCGATATTATGTCATGCGGCACAAAATCGTATAAATTAGTTGAAATGAATCGAAGGCGTAATTTTGTTATTTTAGCTCTTTAAAAACGTTTTTGTTAACGATAATAAATTTTTATTTTCACGGTGGGCAAATTGCATTATGCAAATATGGTGATGTAGCCTTTTGGATTTTAGTCATATAAAATGATAGGAAGGACTGATTGCAATGTTTTTTTTTTGTTGTTAATGCGATTGACAATTTCTGCGGTCAACAATTTGGTACTGAAGTGAATGTAGGGCGGATATCGCTTCCCCCTGTGTATATACAGGTCAGGTGTTATTTTGGCCCTTCATCTATTTATCAACCATGTCGTCGCAATATGCTGCTTAGTCTGAGGGAGACCTCGATCTCAAAAGCTTCCCTAGCGTCTGTAGCCACGCCTTTCCCCGCTGAACTTGTTTTCCAATATTTCCCGCGCGACACCCAAGGCATTGTTGTTTCTAGAACAACCACGCGGACGAGTGTTTTGTGGACGGATAACGATATCGCTGCATTAAACCAACTCGGGCGCGTTATCGGGCAGATATATCCCGCTCCAGATTGCCGTGGGCGTTTTGCGCGCAATGACGTCACCGCGTCCAAACACTCAGCGCTCTCCGCCAAGGAATAAACAAGCGTTCCGCCTGTTGCCGTTTCACTTCCTGCAAGCAGCGCAACATGCGCCCGATTGCTGAACGTGAATCGAGAATCTCGACCAGGAGACTTTTCGTTCGCCAATCGCGAGGTGTGCTCCGGCAAAGAACGGATGTGCAATTGATGCTCCAAAAGTGTCTCTACGTCGAAATAACGCGTGAAGCTAACGAATAAGATAAATGGAAAAACAAAAAAGATCTAACACCAAATTTGCTGATTATACATTTTTCAATCTGGGGTACGTGTTTATTAATTTAAAACCACTAGTAAAATTGCAACCGGCTTCGGACACAAATGTGTATTCGCACGTAATTATAAAATTTACGAAAGCTAAATCTGTCCACACTGAAGAATAAGCCAGTCAGCCATAAGGAACTTCACCCCCCAAATCTCCCCAGGATCAGTGAGTGGCTGTGTTTGGGCCACGGAACACTCTTCGCCTGTTGTACGAGCGGACAGATCCGTCCGGATGATTACCACGTCCTCACAGAAGCAGCGCGTGAAGTGTTCTGCGTTTCGTCTGGTGAGTGAGATAGCCGAGGAACACTTTATTAAAAGGTGGCAACGCATCTGCAGCCATACGGGTGTTGCGAATGTCAATGGGCGGCGGTTATCACTTAGCATCAGGTGAACCGCCAGCTCGATTGCAACCTTTCACATAAAAATGAGAATAGGTACATTAAGATTGTCGCGCTTGATGCTTCACAAGAACATTCGGTAGCGATGTTGAATATCATAAGTTTCTACGGGCGGATGACCCCTCTGGCGTAATTATGCTAATGTTGTTTTAAAACCTTCATCTATGTGTGAGTGCCACCATGAGGACCGTTACACGACGCGAACCGACTCTAGAAACTGGATGCAGTATTCTTTCATCCCGCGATAAAAATTCAAATGTTGCTGATACCAGTTTTGTGCTCGCTCGAGCGCGAAGAATTCGGCGGGGTTAAAACCGTTGGTCCGTGCATTTCGAGACGTAACCAATACAGTTTTCTCGAGCGGAGATAATCAGAATATTTATTTATTTATTTATTTATTTATTAATTTAATCTTCATGCACACACTGTACAAAGGCGGACTTAATGCAAGTGGCATTCTCTACCAGTCAACCTTAGGGTGGTGTAGAGAAAAGTGAGGTAGGTGCACGGATATTACGTGTTGAAGGATAAAATATTATTCATAAAAATAAACATACGTAAATATGTATATAATATTAATAATTATTATTTTTTATATTCATTAAAAAAATATATTTGGAGTCGTACGTACGTTTGGCGCGGATTAATTTAGGTTTTGTTTTCATCTCGATCAATACTTTCACCTTGTGCCTGATCGCGCTGTCGCTTCTAATCGGCACTGTAAATAGATTTGCATTGATTACAACAACACGCCTGATCCACAAAGGTCGCCTCGACTACGACTGTTTCAGATAAATGAGCTTGATCGACGCTACCTTCTATTGCTATTTAGATATATATGTCTATATTTCTGTTTTAGCTTCGTGATTTTCCGATGATACTTTTGTGTACCAGAGATGGGCAGTTGCGCGACTCATTTAAGCGTTTCAACAAATACGTTGTTTGTGTTACGTTGCTGATAAATAGTCTATGTAGACAAATTGTTTTTAACATCAACAAGCATAAGTTATTATTTCTTTTTCTTTTTACATTGCCCTTACTTTGGGATAACATTATCCTGTGTTGTAAGGTCGTTTTTACAAACATAAACTTCACGCGGACAAACACCCAGATGCGGAACAACTATCTGTGGGTCGCACAAATAGTTGTGCCGTGTGGGAATCGAACCCACGACCCCCGACGCCGAAGCCGATACCTTGGCCACTGCGCCACGGAGTCATCAAATTATTAAGACACAGAACCCTAAAGCTTTAAAAATAGTAACTCTTCAATTTTTTTTCGGCGACAACATTACGAAGTGATATGTTAGTTGTTGTAGTATAGTTGTGGGTATACGCTTGAAAAACAATAAACTTCGGCAGTCAGGTAAAAAGCTAGATTAACATTAATATGATGATGCTTTCTAATAAGAAAGGTAAACAGTTATCGATTGAGACAGTGCCTCCTTATTAGAAGGTCTCAATATCTTGTTTAGCCAGATTTTTTTCTATCTTAATTAATTAATATCAAAACATCTGTAACTACTTAATTAATTATTTAGTCTCTTACAAACATGAATATTAATTACTAGCTGTTGCTCGCGACTACGTTTGCGTAGAATAGGCTGAAGGTGTAACATTAAGACAGTAAGACAGATAACATATTATATGTATATAAATTATAGCCTATGTCTTATTCTAATGTAAGAAGCTATATTATTGTAAAGTTTCATTAAAATTCATTCAGTTGTATTTGCGTGAAAGAGTAACAAACATCCAGCCATACATACAAACTTTCGCCTTTATAATATTAGTAAGGATTTGATGTATTTATGCGAATGTTACACATTTTTATAAAACTTGTTTAAGGGATTTTGACGCGGTTCATTTTTATTTTTTGTTATTTTATACTCTCATTTCAAACATGCATGGGCACGAGACTAACTGAGATGTTTGACGTTGCGATGTCACTGTTAACCCGGGGATACTGTCATGTCACGTCATGAATTCCGTAAGGTATTCGAAACGTCGGCAATTTAAAATAAACATAAACTACAATGATATCCGTCCAGTTTAACTAAAATATACTATATAAAGTAAAATATACTTAAAAGTTAACCATTTTTTATAGTAGTGCTAATCTCTGCACTTAAGATTAAACATTTAAATTTGACGTCCCACAGCGGCGACAATTTTTCGCACTTTTTTTGCAAAATTTATTGTTAAATATATTTATATTCACATACTATTTTGAACGATTTAATTAACAAATCAAATCCGTTGTAGACTTTCAGCTCTACTAAATTTTGAGCACTAAGTCTGTCTACGTTTATCCGGTCGGTTTGTGTTAATTAAATGTTTCGTATTCCTTATCTTTACGTTCTGTTCTAATCAACTGTCGCGTAGATAAGTGCGGTTGACGTTTAGCTATTGCTTAATAAAATGTTCGGCTTAGTATCGGTATAACGGACACAGGCCACACACAAAAGTGGGGTGCAGTTAAGATAAGACTGCTCGATCTTCTACGTGGAATTCAGTGGCTTCCGCGCAATCGATGCCATCTTGTTAGTCTATTTGTCGATATAATTGAAGTTACAGTAACACCTGACAATGGCTCAGTAAGTGGCCATATGAAACATTCTAAAATCGACCACCGGTAACCTTTCACTAGGAATTAAACCTTCACTAGTTGTTCACTTATTCGTGGCACGCTTATATCTGACACGCGACGGATATACACGGTGGTGACGTCATCACTAGTACCTAACGTTAACAAGCGATTACTTCGTGTAACGTTATGCTAGACAACATCAACGTCCGGCGACCTTTTAGACTCCGAGTACTTAAACTTAGCACAAAATTGGCTGATGAAGTTATATTTTGATACTCGGGGCTCTATTCTATCAAGGAACTATTTAAGTTCATATGATCGATTCAATCCGTCGTATCGACAGGGTGGGCGGTAAATACAAAAAATCCCTATTTTAAAGTAAAGTAACAGCCTATACATGTCCCACTGCTGGGCAAAGGCCTCCTGAACAGTGGTTATAAGGGCATAGCCCACCATGTGACCCCAATGCGATTTGGCGGTAACTACTAAATATTTTTTTGTTATTATTTCGAAAATGTGGAAGTTTCCAAGATGATATTTTCCACCGTTGAGCACGTACTTGTGTGCAGCACTAGAAATTTTATAATTTCACTGGTGCCGGCACCGGGGACCGAACTCAGGTTGCTCGAGAATTAAAAACGAGCGCAAGGACAATGAGCTATTACGACATTAAAAATATTAATTACGTGTAAAACACTTTGCATTAGGCCTGCTTTGATTCAGCTCTTTATTAAATTCTACTACGGAGAAACCTACATGAATAGGTACAAACTTAAGCCGAGCTAACGCAGTTAACGATTAATTAAGTCTACGTTTCCGTTTTAACCTGTCGGACGAGGTTATGACTGGCGTGCCTAAGCCTACGCAAATGTAAAATGTTTAATTAACTTTAGTAATAAATAAAGCAAAAAATATATTGAAACCCTTCAACAAAAATACGAGTACAAAAATTAACGTTTGAAATCAATGCGCGTGTGCAGAATAATCGCCGCAAAAAAGAGAAATAAATGGATACATATTCGAATGCGGATCATTAATGCCTAGATCCGCGATACGGGTACAACCTTTTTACTTGATCGACGATGGTGCACGCGAACTTAATGGGCAATATTGACGCTTTGCTGTAGTGGCGGATTTAAAAACTTGTGGACACCTTTAATATTTTGATAAACGAATTCATTTATTTGAAAAATATGATTTTTGTAAAGTTCACAGCAGTTACTCTTTTCATTAAAAGAAATACCAACCAAGTAATAAAACTGAAACATAAATTTCTTCTTTTCTAAGGCTGTTAAGCAACTAGAAGAAATTAAAGACTAACAAGTAGTAATATCAGTTGCATAAATTAAGTCAGCTACACCTGTGTCAATAAATAATCTAACGGTGTCCTAACTATTGAGTCATTACTAAGTGCCTTCTATTTAAGGTCCGCCGTCGTACTTCGATATATGCACACGAACTGTTACGAAATAGGTTTTACGTTCGCGTAAACCGCAACAGGAACTGCGCGTGTGTTATTTTGAACTTATCGTAAAATTCGCTCGAATCGTGTTCGCCGTTTACACGGGACCGATGAACTCCGCAATTAACGGCCTACCTTCCGAGAAGGTCTTTCACCTTTTTACCCTTTCACCCTTTTCGCTTTTTACTTCACCTCATCCTTTTGTAATACGCCCTTTGTAATAATTGTGCGGGCGGTTCGCTCGAGTGCGGCGCTCTTCCGTACGAAACCGTTTACAACCGTTCG